GCCTCCCTGCCGGGTCATCGCGCCTCCACCGGTCACCGGGCAGGGGCATGAGCGTCCCTTCGGCCCCTCTGGCCCAGGGACCCTTCCGCCTCCCTCTATCCACACCGCTGTGCCTGGGCCAGAGTTCTTCCTGAGGCGACACAGCGGCCTTCTAGGTGCCCCCTGTCCCCGGGTCCTCCCCTCCGCTCCAGGCCACACCCCCAGCGGACGAAAGTCGGAAGAATCCCTGCACGGGCTACCCTCCGGCTCACCAGGCGGCAGCCCTCCGATGCCCAGAGGGTGGCGGCCAGGCCCCTTTGCCATCGTACTGTTAACATCGTATTGTTAACTAGGCGCGCTGCGTTCCACTGCTATACATTTTAGTCGTACACGGAAAGTTCTAGAAATCTGCCGCTCAGCAGCGTCAGGGCCATTCTCAGTCCCGCCCATGACCGGCCTGTTCGGCCCTCCGTCCCACCCACCGCTTCCTACGCCCTCACCGGCCGCCAGCCCTTCTAGAGGTCCGTCTGCTTTCCCGGAACCGTCGGGACCACTTCCGCTCCGAACGACCCCCCCGGCTGTCTGCCTCTCAGCGCCCCCTCTATTCCTGATCCTTCCAGGACGCGCCCGCCCCTCCTCTCCGCGTCCTCCTCTCCGCGTGCCCCTCCCCCCCGTCTGCCGCTGCCGTGAACTTCTCTAGAGGCGTCGTCTCAGCGCGTCGGGCATCCCACGCGTGGTACCCCAACTGCGTTCTCTTCCCCGACAGAGGCCGCGCGCAGCTGGAGGCCTGACTTCTTCTGTGTAATCTCTCCGCCGTGTCTAGAAACGTTTCTGATGACAGCTTCGCTCCGCGTTGGCTGCACCTTAGAGTTTCCTGCAGAAATTTATTAAAAAAAAAAAAAACAAAAAAAAAACCCCGAAAATCCCACAAATGCCAGGTCCCACAGCCAGCGACTCGATGTACCTGGTTGGATGTGAGGCCCCGCCCCGGTGTGAGGATAAACCGTCCCAGGTGTTCCTGACATGCAGTCCACCTTCAGCACCCGTCCCAGGGCCTCGGGAAACGGTGTGCTGATATTTGATCGGTGGACTGGAGTCCGGGGTGGGGGGGACCCCATTTCATAGTCAACTACTCCAAGTTTGTTGGGCGGCCGTCTGGAGGTGCCCACCCCGGCAGACTGAACCCTGCTGTCGGGGCCGAGGAGGGTTGCGTCGACGGAGGGTTGCGTCGTCGGCGGTGACGATGATGATACATCACCCCAAACAGCCGCACTCCTAGTCTCAGCGGCAGGCCGTAGCTCCCCGGCAAGAAATCAGGTCAGCAGCCCCGGGTTGGTCTCTGCAAAGCCCCCACTTCCAGAGAGGCGCCTCGTGACTCCCAGCAGGGCTCTCTGCGAGCCGGCGGCCGCCTCCTCGCCTCCTCGCGGGGAATGACCCAGTTCCGCCCCTTCCCGGCCCCGCGGTGTGAGGAGCTGTAGTCCATTTGTCATTTCGAGGGACCTGACACAGCGCAGCTCTTGTCCTAACGAGGCCTGGCTCCCCGGGAACGGGCGGGCGGGGACTCCGCCTGAGCGCCTGTGGCCTGAGGCGTCCCTGCAGGGGAGGGCTCGGCACCGGTTAAGAGACCTTTGCTAAAGCGGCTGGGGTCAGGCTCTGAGGCCAGAGCGGGGCCCACCCCTGACCTCCCCAGCAGCTGGGTGGGAGGGGGCATCTTTGCCCGTGAAGCGGCCCCACAGTTACAGCCGAGCCGCTGGGGGCCTGGAGGCTGTCTCTGCCACTTCATGGCGGAGAAGACTAAAAACTGTCTCGGTTAGAAGCCACATGAGATGTGAGACGCAAAACCAGGCGTGAATTTTCCTCTTCCTTCCTTCAGCTTCCACGTGAAGCTAGGAGGAAGCGGAGAGGTCTCAGCGGGGCAGGAGCAGAGGGTCCTGGGCCGTGTGCACGGGGGGCCTCTGCGGCGGGCACGTCGGCGGACCAGAGGCTGGCGGTCAGGAGCCCGGCCCTGGGGTCGTCGCAGACTGTGTGCAAGACCCACGCTGGCCTCGCGCCCTCGCCGACACCGCCCTCGGCCTCAGGTTCCCAGTCGGAGGGACAGGGTGACACTGGTGCGCACCCGTGACAATCCCGGATGCGCTGGGGCAGGGCGGAGGGAAACTGGCCTTCATGTGATCCTGAGTTTGACCCCGACCCTTGCTCCGGCAGCCTGGCCTCTGTGCCTTGAAGCTCCTCAGCGGGGCATAGGCCCCTCGCCCCCCAGGCTGGCTGCCCCCCACCCCCAGGACAGAACGCCGTTCCTGTGGGGGGCCGGTCAGAACAGCAGCCGTCCGCCCAGGTCTTCCAGACAGAGGGGCTTCAATATGGGAAGCGGTGACCCAGCAAGGCAGGAGCCAAGGAGCCCAGCAGGGGACGGGGGGGCCAGCCGGGAGGGAGCGATGGCAGGGAGTCACCGTTCTCTAAGGCCTGCGGGGCGGCGGGGGAGGTGGGTCCGCAGAGCTCAGCAGCCAGGCCTCCGACAGGGGCCAGGCCTCCCTGGGTCAGTGGAGGGAGGATTGGGGTAGACCCCCTTCATCCTCCCCGCCCCCCGCCATAAACAGCGGGACGGGGGAGCCCCTGCCTTGTCCCCTCTTCCCCTCCCTCCCGGGGAGCGAGGGGGTCTGCGAAGCGGGGTTTCCCGTGACGCAGGAACTGGGTCTGAGGGAAGCGGGAAGTGGACGGGCATGGCCTCCCTCTCCTCTTCCTCAGCCCGGAATTCTGAGCCTTTGGGTGACAGTGCCGGAGGGCGTCTCTCACCGGGCAGCCCCCAGAGCCCCGTCAGAGGGATGCTGGGACCCCCGCACCCCGGGCCGAGGAACATGCCGGGGGGCAGGACCGGCAGGGCCGCCGGCACGGGGCGGTCAACTTCCTTGTTTTCTCTTTGTTTGTCCTGGCAAGCGCCTCGGTTCCTTTCATTGTTAATCTGGGGTTTTTCTTTCGTGTGCCTTACGCGTCTCTGGAAGGTTAATTTCAACCGCATCTGCAGGGTCTCGAGGGGCTAGTCCATCCTCCAGACTCTCTGAACGGAGGACACCTATTATTTCTCACCAGCAGCACCCGGCCCAGGCCTGGCTCTCTGCCGCGCCCCGTGGTCCCGCCCCCCATCGCCCGGGCCAGATGTTGCCGGGTTGCCTTTGCTCGGAGTGAGGATGCAAAGGAGACGGGCACCGGCCGGCGACCACTCCTCAGCCCCCTCGATGGGGGGTGGCTGGGTCCATCGTTTACTACGCGGCCCTACTGTGCGGACAGTCTGGGACTCGCCGCCGCAGGAGCAGAGACACACGGTTGAACGGACATGCCCGAGGGGGCCCGGCTCCCCGTCAATTCTTCTGCGCGCCCGGGGACAGGGCTTCCTGCTGCTGGGGCAGCGGGCCCGTCACAGACAAGGACCACATGTGACGGCTGTGTGTCACTGGCGGTGTGTCCCCAGGACGCCCACCCTGCCCCGGGGGAGGCGGGAGGGGGCGGGAGTGACGTGGTGGAGCCAGCGGCATCTGTCCCGGGAGCTCGTCGGCCCTGCCGCTGCGCAGCCCCGGTGCCGCCCTGCCTGCCATCTCCCCCAGCCAGGCGCCCCCAGCCCGCCCCCGGCCCTGGCCGCTTCCTGGCCCCCACTGGTGAGGACTCTCGGTTCTAACCTCTCCCCACGCGCACTCACCGGCCCCGTCTTTGTCACGGGGAGAAGGGCCGGAGCAGGAGTGATCGGTGGGACACGGAGCGAGTGAAGGAGCTCCTGCAGGGTGAGTGGCCAGGTTCACGTGGGCCCTTGCCCTCCGGCCTCCGACCCTTGGCCGTGTGCTCTGTGGCGCCTTGGGCTCGTCTCCCCAGCAACATCATCGGCTCGCCGGAGGGAAGGTCACTCTTTTCTTTGCTCTGTGGCTCGGGGCCCAGAGCGGGACCCCGCTGTGCGTGGTCGGGAGGATGGCCTGGACCGGCCACTGGGTGGGGACCCGGGACCCCCGTCCGCCCCCGTCACTCTCCAGACACGCTCGAGTGAGCGGGTTCTCCGCCTCCTGGGCCTGCCTCCTGATCTGAGCGGCGAGGGGCTGGACCCCGGGCGAGTGCGCCCTGGAGTGGGAGCCCTGTGTCCTCCTCGCCTGCCGCCCGGGTGACGTGGGCAGACCGGAAGGGCCGTTCCCGCCCTGTGGGCCGAGTGCAGGACTCACTGATTGCACGCAGGCTGGGGGCTCGGCCCAGGGCGGACAGTGAGAGTCCACACGCACCCTGGCCCGAGTTCCGACACGGGACGCACATGCCCACGCCAGACGCCGGGGCGGAAGCAGGGGACTTGGGGCCGCAGCAGAGCAGCCTGTCCTCTGCTGGGACGCTTCCAGGGAGCAGCCCAGAGGTGGGGGAGCCCTCGGAAGGACAGCGGCGAGACGGCCTTGCGGGGCGGGTCAGCGTCCCGCTGCCTTTTAATGACCAACCGAGGGGACGGGCACGTTTACAGAGAAGGCCCGCTCATCCGAGCGGGTCCCGTGGAACCTGCCACTGGGTTTTTTTTTTTTTTCGGTTTCTCGCCAAACTCTGTCATCGGTCTTCCGTGCTAACAGTCCAGGGAGTGACTGCCCGTCACATGCTCGACACACAGTGCACGGGCGTCGGACGTGAGGAAACGTGGCCTGTCCCCTGGGACAGCAAGGCAGGAGCCCTGCGCGCACTCCGTCCTCGCGGTGGGCCCAGGGCCGCTGGTCGCACTGGCCGGTGCGGAACGGACGGGCACCGCTTTCCAGGCACAGGGGTGGGTGTCACTGACAAGGACACAGGAGGGACCCTCGGGGTTTGGGGAGGCGAGGGGCAGTTTTGTGACCCGCCGGCTCTGTCTGCCTCTGTTGACCTCCCAGAGCCGGCCCAGGCCCACCCAGTGAGGTCGGGGCCTGGAGCAGGTGGGGCGGGCAGGCCACCTCCGCCCGGCTCAGCCTGGGCGTCGGGGGTGGGGGTGGCGGGGCCTAGGGCCTCTGTGGGGCGGGGGGGATGACAGCCCTCGTCCCGCCGGCTCGTCCAATGCCTCCGCCCTAAAACCAGCTGGTGTGTTCCCTGCTGGGGCCTTCAGAACTGGACTTTGTTTTCCGCTGCCAGCAGCATGGCAAACGCCGACTCCGGCTTCTCGGCGAGGACCTCGGGCTTGTCGAACTCCACCACCTGGGAGACAGGGGGAGCCCACGCTGTCAGAAGGTGTCCACCACCCCTCTCCCCCGGGGGCCCAGGCCTCTGACGCCGGTGACGCCCCCCCGTACCTTCCCGCAGTCCATGACCAGGACGAGGTCGCAGTTGAGCACGGTGTTGAGGCGGTGAGCGATGGTCAGCACCGTGCAGCCCTCGAAGGCGTCCTTGATGGTGCTCTGCAGCAGGCTGTCGGTCTTGGAGTCCATGGAGGCCGTGGCCTCATCAAGCAGGATGATCTGGGGAGGGGGAGACGGTGTCAGCGTCGCACCGAGCCAAAGCTGTGCCGGGAGGAGGAAGATGTATCGTCTTAGCTCTACACATTTGTTTGTTGTTGCTGTTTGTTTGTTTTTTTATGGAGAAGGGCTGGAAAGGAATGAGCTGGGGGCCGCCGGAAAGCCGCCTCCCACCACCTTCGCCTTCGTCAGAGGGCCCGGCCAGGGCACGGCAGGCCGTGCAGTCCTCACTCCTCTCCCAAAGCAGCCCGCTCAGACCCTGCGCACTGGCCGGCAGCAGCACCGGGGCCAGCTACCACGGGTCGGCGCGCGGCGAAATAGCAACGCTTACGTCGGCCCTGCACCGCTGCTACTGCTGCTGCTGCTGGGACGAGGTTGCGCAGATGCCGCCGCGTGAAGCAGCGGGCATGGGCTGCCTCCCGGTTCTGGACGCCAGCAGCCCCGACGCCCGCGTGTGGGCGGGGCCGCGTTCCTTCGGCAGGTGTGCGGGGAGAAACCGGCCAACGCCGCGTCCCGCTGCTAGGTGCTGCCTGCCCCCCCAGGCGTCGCTCTGAGCCCACTGCCACGGTCAAGCCGCCTTGCCTTTCTGGCTCTCCGGCCGCTCTCTCGCACAGGCCGGGGCCCGCCCGGGTCACCCCGGATAATCCCCGCGTCTCAAAACCCTCGACCTCATCGCCTCTGCCAAGACCCTTTTCCCGGGCGAAGTAGCACAGCCACGGGTCCCGGGCACCAGGAGGTGGACGCCTCTCGAGGGGACCGGGGGCATCACCCTGCCTCCCCCAGTGCCGGCCTGTGGTCAGAGGGCCTGAGCCCAGCGCTCACCCTGCTCCGCCTTGGCTAAATCGCTTAACTTCCCCGAGGCCCCGTCTGTTTGCTTGTCGGGAGAAGGGCTCACACCTTGTTAAGAGCATAGAATGCAAACACAGCACAGAGCTGCCCCGCAGTCAGCACTCGGTGGGGGCTGGCCCCCTTTGGGCCATCAGCTCGTCTGGGGGGTCCGGAGAGCGGACTGCCCCCAGCCCCAGCGGCCCCCTCCTGGACACCAGGGAGCAAGGATGTCCGAGGTGTTCCCATTCTCAGATCCTAGCCTTCCCGAGTGTCCCGGGGGCGACTCCTCGGGCCTCGAGAACCGCTCGGGGACAAAGGGGGGATGGCGAGAGGAACATTTCTCGGGCTCCAACCACCCAGGAGGACAGAGAGATGGCCTGAGCAAGACCCCCCAGCGAGAGACCCGGGAGAGGCAGGTGCTCTCGCTGCAAATGACAGTGGTTTCTGCCTCTCACAACTTTGTCGTGAAAGAGGGATCGGTTTTTAAGTGGCTCGATTGCGCTGCCTTTGGCGGAAGACAAAAACGGGCTCCACCCCCTGGGTCGAGTGGCCCTGCGGGGAAACTTCCAGAAATCCACCGGCCCATCGCCCACGCGGTTCCCTTACTTTCGAGTTCCGGAGGAGCGCTCGGGCCATACAAAGCAGCTGCCGCTCCCCCACTGAGAAGTTTTCTCCGTTTTCTGTGACTTCTGCCTCTAATTTCTCCGGGAGCTTCATTATCTGGAAAACAGAGCGCGCGGCGCTCACGCGGGAGATCTCTGAGCCGGCCCGGGGTCCTCTACGCGCCCCTCCCCCTGCGCCCCGGCAGCTGCCTCACTGCACCGCGGGGAAGGAAGCGCGAGGCGGCAGCGATCGTTTCGAGTTGCGGGCCGGCGGGCACCAGGAAAAGACCAGGGAGGGGGCGGACGGTAATCGTTTAAAACCGCAGTGTGAGTTCCCCCCGCCGACACCTCCCCAAAGAAGACAAATGAGGCTCAGCGGGGGCTGGAGAAACACAAACAGTGCACGTGGCTTCCCGGGCCCTATTTCCTGGACCAGAGTGGAGGCGGGAGGGACAGTTTTCTGGTCGCCGAGAAAGGAGAGGCGGCGTCCGGTTTATCCAGCAGGACACGTCCAAGTGGCACGGGGACATGCTCCCCTCGGAACCGAGTCCTGGGGGGAAAGCTGCCCCCCGTGGGCCACAGAGGGGCCACGCTGCCCTGCGGGACCCAGCCACAGCCCGTGCAGGCCAGAGCCCCGCCCACCAGCCCGCCTGCCACTCCGGAGCAGGCCACGCCCCTCACCTTCCAGGGGCCTGCTGTTCCCAGAGGCAAACCAGGCTGCCTGCAGAGCAGTAGGGCAGGGCCTAGGCTCCAACCCAAGTGGACGTGGGTTCGAGTCCCCACTCCGCCCTTCACTAGCCTGCACGTGCCCCTCCCGAGTCTTAATTTCTGCATCTCTAACAAGGAGGCAGGTCAGAGGGTCAGACCAAGTGGGGTGATAGTTACAGAGGTCTTGGCTGGGTCGTTGCTGAGACCTAGGAAACCTGATCTGTTGCTTTTTAAAAATCATGACAAGTAAACAAGGATTGTGTCTCCTGACGCGTGGGGGGCCGTCAGATCAGCCCGGCCCCGTGCTGGCCGGGTGTGCGCCCGGCCCGGGGTCTGGGCTCGGGCGTCAAACAGACTCGTCGCAGACAGCCCTGAGACCTACTGTGTCTCTCATGAACGTCCTTTCCAGAACCTGCCAGAGCATCTCGTCTGTGTACCGCTCGAAGGGGTCGAGGTTGTACCTGCAGCGAAGGAGAGGAGGGGGAGCTGGACGGCTGAGGGCGAGGGGCCGGGTCGGTGAGGGGCTGGGGGGGGCGGGGCGGGAGCCAGCGGTGGCTGTGACTGACGGCCCCCGGGGCAGGGCTCCCTTAGCCCAGGACCGAGACCCATACATCGCTAATCTCAGGCCCAGAGACCAAGGGCCTGCCACTCTGGGACAGTGTAGAGACCTCTGAGGAGGCCCACGGGCAGAGCTGCCCAGACTCGGCACCTCTCGAGGTGCTCAGGGCGACCCCCTGGTCCTCTCAGCGGCCCGGGGCAGCCACGTGCCTCTGACCTTCTGCGTGGTCTTGGCAGAGAGACAGGGACAGGGAGCACCGTGACGGGCCGTGGCACATTCACTCGGCCTTCAGAGGCACGGGCTGCACCTGCCGCTCCCGGGCTCCCCGAGGGTGAGTGGCTCGTCGGTGCTGGGGTGTGAGTCTGCACACGGACTGTTCTGGGCACAACCCTGAACACGGCCCCGGCGCCCGTGGGGGAGACAGCCCTCTTGGGAGAGGCCCGGCCGTTTACGGGACCACGTGAGAAACCAGCTTTCTCTTCGAGCCTGGACATCGGATCCTCAACCTTACAGAAGCTGCAACGCCCTGTTCTTGCGCTTGAACTTCTGTTCTGGTGCACCTGCCGACAGGTGGCTGCCCCGAGGCCTCACTGGGGAGCAGGTGGCAGCCCCTTGGGCCGCTGCATCTCTCGGGGCCGGCAGCCCCGGACCAGCAGCCCCGGGCTGGCCACGCTGTGGGCCCGTCCCGGAGCCCCCGGCCAGCCTGGCTTCACTCTCCAGAAAGAGGAGTGCACAGCGACCGCAAACAGCTACCTTACTGTACCTACAAACAGCACAGGGTCCTGGGGAATCACGGTCAGCCTGGTCCGCAGGTCCTCCAAGCCGACCGTGCAGATGTCCACCTGGTCGATGAGGATGGTGCCGCCAGCGGGCTCCACCAGGCGGAACAAGGCCACTCCCAGCGACGACTTCCCTGGGGACAGTGAAGGCGAGAACAAGGCCAAGGTCACATCCAAGTACCGGTGTGTCGTCAAGGGGCTTCTGACGCAGTGCAAGTGTCTCCGTGGGGGTGACGAGAGGCTCCGCCCTGTGCGGGGACCACTGGCCGCTCCCACACAGTCCCCACGCCCCTCCCCTCGGCGGCAGCTCGCTCGCACGCACGCATGCATGCACACAGCACACCCTCCAGGTCCCGTTTCGCCAGAATGACCCTCATTGAATTAATTCCAGCTGCACACACCCGTTCAACCTGGACTCCTAACCTACAGTGAAGAGGTTTGATACAGCCAGTCTGCCCCCCCACACACACTCACACTCACACACTCACACACACACACACTCATACACACACCCCGCCCTCCGGGTGTCTGCAGCTCCGCCAGCGGACCCAGTGGACACGCAAAGAAAGCCACAGGAAAGAAAGGCAGTCGGAGCCCGTCCTCACCAGAGCCCGTCCTTCCGACAATCCCAACTGTCTGCCCGCTTTGGATGTTCAAGTTCAGCCCGTCGAGGACGAGAGGCGTGTTCTCTCTGTACCTCATCTGGTAGTCTCGGAACGTGATCTCCCCGCGGCTGGGCCAGTCCTGCGGGCAGGCGCCCACTGGGAGGGGCTGTGCGCTCTCGGGGACACAGGTCTGAAAGCAGAAGGCCCGCGACGGGCGAGTTCGCACTCGCCTTTCCAATCCTTCGCTGCGTTCGCTCACACGCGTCTGGGGTGCGTGTCCAGGGGGAACTAGACCCGTAGGGACCCGGCAGGTGGGACACTCACACCCACGATTTTAAGTTAAAAGCACATTGGCTGCGTGCAGCAGCGGGATGGCTGGGCAGAGGGAAGCCCAGTGGGTATTTGCAAGCGGGTCACAGCAATCTGTGGGCACGCATGAATCCATATTCATCAGAGCCACGCACCCTCGGCGGGGTTGGTCGGTTCAATCAGACACTCGGGGCACTCACAAAGGAAACGTAATCGATCACATTTTAAAGTGCCGTTGTAACTGCTTTAAAGAGCCGGATTAAGTCTGTCAAGGGGCCAGACACTGTTCAAGGGCCTTTAAAGGGGTCTGCTGGAATCGGGGAGCCTCCTTTGCAGACCATGGCAGGGTTTGTGAGGGGGCAGAAAAGCCTTTCAGGGAACGGCCCGCGGGACAGTTGTGAAAAGAGAGCCTCGCTCTCAGCCTCAGGGACTCTAGGCTGCGTCGTCGTGAATAAGGGGGGGGGTGGTTAAGGAGAGGGGCGTGGTCCGACTTCGGTTGTGAAAAAGTTCCCTTTCGTGTGCACTCTGCCACGGGACGCGTGTGCGCGCGCGGAGCTTACCGAGATGTACTCCCTGAGCAGCTCCACGGAGGTGAACTTGGCCTGGGTCTCCGTCGCTGTCCGGACGCACACCTGGAGCAGCCCGCTCAGCTGCGGGAGAGCGGCCAGCGCTCGTCAGGGCCCCGCCCGCCTCTGCCGTCGAGCCCCGCCCCGCCCCGCCCCGCCCCCGCCCGCTGGCTCGGGATCTCGCCGCCGGCAGCCGACAGCTGGCCCGCCTTTCCCAGCCAAGCGCCCAGAAGTGCAGCTCCTCTGGTGGGTGTTTTGCCGGTAAACACTTCCTTTGTTTTTAGAAACAAATGGTGAGCTCGTTTTCCCTGGCACTCCACGGGGTGAGCACTGCCCCCCGCTGCGCCACCTGCCACCGCCTCCTAGTCTGAGCAGCAGCTGTGAGCCGGGATGCCGCCCGGGGCTGCTGGGTAATGGCCTCGGCTGTCCCCAACCCCACCCCGGGGTCTCCACCCTCCCTGCTTCACCCCTCCCACGGCCGAGAGGCGCCCAGATGACCAGAGGCGGAAGAAAGCCACCCAGCGCATCTGCTTGCTAGGCCCAGCCTGGGGCAGGTGGCTCGGTGGGGCCACCCCCCTAGGCCCAGGACCCCCAGAGGCCTGCCCTGAGCGTCCGGTGCAAGAAGTTGTGTTAGGGCGAAGGGTGTGCCCCAGAAGGCCCGTCCACGGGGGCGTCCCTGGGACTGCGGACGCCTCCTCACTCGGACAAAGGGTTTCTGCGGGCGTCATCAAGGGTCTTGAGATCATCCTGGGTGACCCAGGTGGGTCCTAAATGAGAAGTGTCCTTACAAGAGACAGGAGAGGAGACGCAAGAAACAGGACACGGAAGAGTGGAGCCGGAGGGGGGGCCAGAGAGCGGGTGACGCCGCGATACGCCGGGGAGCACCGTTGGTGCCCAGAAGCTGGGGCAGAAGGAAGAACGCCCCCCCCGCCCCCCTCCCCCGACCCCTGGAGCCGTCAGAGGGAGGACACCTTCGGTTTGGGCTTTGCCGCCACAACCCTGAGGATCCACGTCGCGGTTTCAAGCTGCTGGGTTTGCGCTGGTGCCACAGCCGCTCCGGGGAGTGCGGCCGGGAGGCGGCCGGGAAGGCACCAGAGGGGCTGGGGGAGCGGGGCCCGGGGAGGGGCAGCCAGCTGGGCAAGGTTCGCCTGCGGCAGCGGAAGCTCCATCCCGCCGGGAGGCGGCGCCCACACACGTTGTGAAGTTCAAGGGCATCCGCACCTCAGGGCCTTGGGCTGCCGTCCGCAGGTTTAGAATCGGCCCCCCGCGTGCTTTCTCCTCCGGGGGGGTATCCATGTCCCTTTGCATTCCCTTGCTGCTCTGAGGGGCTTCACCCCAGTTCTTGTCCCCCCGGGGAGCCCGCTCCATCCCCGGGGTGGGGGGGGGACGTGGTGTCACTTGGGTCCCGCGTTCTCCCAGGAAGCTCCCGCTCCGCGGCCCCCCAGGCCTCCGAGTGCACCGGCTCCCCCCGGCCGTACGGCGGCGACTGCACACCGTTTCCCGGGAAGCTGGCGGTCCCCCCGAGAGGGTGACCTCAGCGGGCGAGGTCTCGGAGTAAGAAAATCTCTCCGACGTCATCCGCTTCGCATTCTGCCAGCATCAACAAGCGAGGACACCCAGCAACAAGGAAAACCCGTTTTTCTCACTTAAGCTGGAGTCCTGAGAATGTATCTTTGTTTCTTCTTCCCCAAATGCCACTAAAATGGTATCAGAGGTTTTCAGAAGGGAAGAGGCCTCCTCCCGGGAGCCCCAGCTCTCAGGATGCTGGGCAGAACGTGGGCAGCGCACTCAGCTGGCGCCGGCAGGCCTCCGGTCCGCCACCACCCCCACCCCCCCACCCCCCGCCCGCAGCACTCAGCGGGGGGCGGGGGGGGGCTCCAGCAGCGAGGAGGGGCCGCGGGGAGGCTGATTGACAGGCTGTCCGCACACAGGACCCCTCTTGGACCCATCGACCCCGCTCCCTGCTTGTTTCTCCAGACCCGAGGCGGCTGGACTCTCTACCCCTGGGCCCGCACCCGTGGGTGTGCATGTGTGCACACTCCTCTCTGAAGAAGCTGGGTGCACCGCCTGGGGCTCAGTGGGGCTCCCAGGATAGAACCCAGGAGTAAACGCCTTCAGCTGTAGCTCCCGGGCTGCTCTCCGGTGGGAAAGCCTCCCCCACTCCCCCACCCGCCGTGGCCCGGCTCCCGTCAGGAGAGAGCCCTCAGGGCCCGGGCAGAGGCGGAGCAAGCCCCGGACACCCCACCGGGCCCCTCCTCCTCCAGTACACACGGACCCAGCATCGCACAAACAGAGCCCGCGGCACCGAAGGCCCGGGACCGGGCAAGCGAAAGGAAGAGCCGGCCCGGGAGAAGCTGAAGGCAGTCCCAGGAGAGACGGCAGTTTAAGGAAGGGCGGGGCCTCTGATTAATGCACTCAGATTTAGAAGTACGTAGGCATCCATTCAAAAAGGATTCTTTCAAAAACCCACTGAGACAGAGCTCCTGGAAATTAAGTACGTGAGCGTGAGATCGCCAAACTGAAAATGCAGAAGAGTGGCTGGACGGCAAAGCCAAGGAGAATCCCCAGAATAAAGACGGGAAGACAAGAACACGGGGGTTTGGGGTAAAAAGAAAGGCCACGAGAAACTGTGGGTGCAAGAAACGCACACCCCCCAGCAGGAGTCGGAGGCGGGAAGTCAGGACGGGGGTGGGGGTGGGGAGGGCACTGTCCAGGGGAGAAGAGCAGAGGGGAAGCGTGTTCCCGGCTGGACGAGCTGACTCCGGTGCGGAGGGACCCGCAGCCTCATGCAGAGTAGAGGAGGGGAGCGCCCACCCGGACGGGCCGTCCTGGGGACTCAGTGTGCCCCGGAGAAGGGCAGCTGCAGGAAAGCCCCCCGCCCGCCACCCCGGGGAGAAAGAACTCGAGGCGCCTGGAGAGCGTGGGCTTCGGAGGGGACCAGACCCCGACGGCCGGCTCTCACACACGACGGACGGGCGACCCCAGGCCGGTCTTTCCCGCCCTCGGCCTCTCCCCTGTAACACGGGGATGTGGCGGTGCCTCTGTCGTGTGCGTGTGGCGGCTGTGGGGACAGATGGCTTGCGTGTGTTAAAGGGTTGAGAACAGTATCTGAGACACAGCAAATGGCACTCGACTCAGTATTGTTATGTTTCCAAGGAAAAAACCAGAGCAACCCGAAAGGGAGGTCGGCGATTATCGGCCACGGGCAGCGGGGCTGCCTCTCTGGCGTCCTTCCCTTCTCCCCATGGGGGGCAGCCGTGCGACCTGGGGGAGGACCGGGTGTGACTCTACCCGCCCCTTGGCCTACACCAGCGGCCCCCATCCCACCAAGCCACGGACGCATCCCGGGGTGCCTGCGTTCATCCAGTACGAGCATAGAGCCCAGGGCATCTGTTCAGTGGGCAGTGAGCAGCCGCCTTTGGCTCTCTTCCTCCCGTAGCCCTCGGAAGCTGCCGCTCGCCACACCACGGCCATGACCAAAGTCACCGCGGAAGGAGGACACAGCCGGGGGCCGTGACCCAGCCACGCCGAAGCCCACCCCACCGCCAGACCCTGAGGGGTGGGAGCCACGGAACTCTCTGTATCGCTTAGACCCCATCGAGTCGGGTTTTGCATGGCGCCCACCCTCCCTCACGCCCAGCCGACCCACCCCCCCCCCCGCCCCAGCTGTCACCTGGATGATGTAGGACAAAGACAAGCCCTTGGACGAGATGCTGATGGTGGGGAAACTCAGGATCACCAGCAAGGCCACGATGAAGGTGACGACGTTCATGAGCACGTCCATCCGCAGGGCGAACCACCGCAGGGCGCAGTTGAAGTACAGGAGGTGGCTGGAGTTCTCGTCGTTCAGCACCTTGAACCTGGACGGGGAGCCGGGGAAGTGAGGTCGGGGCAGGCGTCCGCAGGGCGAGGGTGGGGGCGGGGCTGCGGCAGAGGTAAGGCAGCGGGCGCTCCCAACCGCGGCCGCCGGCGCGCTCTCACGAGACGAGCATGCATCCACGCTCCCTGAAACCTGCCGTGGTCGACGTCGTTGGCGTGCTCGTGTCTGGGGACATCCCCGGGGGCCGTGCGGCGTGCACTGGGTGGGCCCTGGCTGTCTTTCCCAGAACGGGCACCTGGAACCCCCGCTGAGGACAGAGGGGGTGAGCACCCCTCTCTCTCCCTTCCAAGGGTCCCTGCCTGTCCTGGGGTCCGTCAGCCACCCCCCGAGTCCTTGGGGATTGACTGTCAGCTCCTTGACCTGTCGGACGGGGTGGGGGTGGGGCGGGCTGTGGAGGAGGCTGCCGTGTTGGGGACGACCCATATCCGTGGGGGTGGAGGAGGGAAGAGAGGGCACTGGATCGGTGCCCCTCCCCAGGTGAGGGGAAGAGGCCCCCAGGCCGCGGCTGTGAAGCTGGGGTCCCTTCCAGAAGAGGGCGCTGACCTGCCGTGCTTCTCCTGTGTGTCCGCCGCGGGAGGGAGCGCAGGGCGGAGGGACAGAGAGGCGGCCGCCCCCGGAGTTGGGCCCCAGACCCTGCCCCGTCCTGCAGTGCCTGGAGTGGGTGCAGAGGGGAGGGACCCCGGGCTGCGGTCCGGCTGCTGCGACATCGCTCAGCTCAGCAAGGGGAAGACAGTCCCCACGTCCCGGGAGCGTGGGGTGGGGCTGCCCGCAAAGCTCCCTGCGAGACCCAGGCAGAGCTCGCCTGTGGCCCGGGCCTCAGCCGTGCTGCGAGGGGTCTGGCGAGACCAGGGTCCCCAGCCAGCGCCGGCCCCTCTTCACAGGCAGCCGGATCCTCGGGAATGAGCCATGGAGGGAAGGACCCAGGCACAGCAGCCACCCGAGGGTGCAGCAGCCCTGCCTCCGTGCCCCTGCTCCAGCCTCCGAGCCAGGTTCGGAGACTACAGGGAGAGGGGGTCTGAAAGGACAGACCGGGTGCTTCCCACCCCCATTGCAGGATCCCTGCAGGCAGCCCAGCCTGACCAGCCAGCCAGACCTCTGGGGCGGGGGAGGGCTGTGGACTGAAGCTGTAACCGGCCTGAGCCAACCCATAACCAAAGGAGACGTCAGAGGCAACCGCCACTGACGTTGCCCCTGCCCCGCCAGGAGCAGCTGGTAGAACTCACTGGGGACAATGAACACTTTTCAGGGTTCAAACCCCCGGCGTGCTCGGCTGCCCCAGTGGCACGGCCGTGAACGCCTCAGGCTCTGCCGCTCGCCCTGTCCTGGGTTCCCTGGAGGGCTCTGTTTGGGAAGCGCCTCCTCCGTAGCTGCTCTTCCCCAGAGCGTAGTTACAACATTCTGGCCAACACCGTGGAGTTCCAGTGGCGTAGCTACAAAGCCTGCCAGTAACCCAGCTGACAGTGCTAAGCGACTTAGAAGTCACCCGAGGTCTTATCTGTGAGGCTGGTTGGATTGTGCAGAAGCCCGGCCTGGGATCACACTGGAATGCGACCTCTGACCTCTAGTTAATGCTTCCGCATCTTTGTCTGCTGGCTAAGGCCACAGGTGTCAGGAGCCCGAGCCCCCCGCCAAGTCCGTGACAGGCAAGAATGTATTGAAAGAGGGCAGACCCGCCCTCCTCCAGGGCCCTGCTGGAGGCCGTGGTGGGGGAGACCCGCTGGACTCTGCTCCCCGCGTGGACAGATGCCGGGAGGAGCCCCAGTGTGTGACTTGGGGCTGCTGACACAGGACAGGCCACCCTAGGAACAGAACCGGCCAGTGCCGACCAAAGCCAGGGATGCTGAGTCCATGTGAGATCTGGGTGGCAAAGGGCCGAGAGAGAGGGAATTGGATGCAATCTTAGAAGTGTGTGTTAGGTTTTTAAGAAAAAAAAAAAAACAAAAAAAACTCATCACTCCAGTATCTCTGAAGAGTGTAGAAGGCACTCAGTGCGTGTTGGATGCGTGGATAAATAAATGAGTAAAAAACAATAACAACAAATCTGTGTGCCAAAGACGGCTATAGGTTCACCGATTTCTTTTCCTCCTGCGGGCACGGTGGGACTACATTTCCCAGCCTCCTTTGCAGTTAGCAGAACCCATGTGACCGAAAGCTGGCCAGTGAAATGTGAAGAAAGGATGAGCCTCTTCACGGGGGTTGAGCCAATACAAATTTCACACGGGTCGCCCACCCAAACCTCTCCCCTTGGCTTCCAGGCGGACACGGAGGACCCAGGAGAAGTCCCCAATGGAGAGAATCCCTACCCCCGCCCCAGGGACCCCCATTCCACTGGGACTCGAGGAGGGATAAGCGTGTTTTGTGCGACGCTCCTACAGCCTGGAGTTGCCGGTTCCCACAGCGAATCCGCTGCGATCGAGACCCAGAGGCTCCGTGTGATCGTGCCGTGCGTCCCGGGTCTGGGGCTGGGAGGCTCCGGAGAGATTCTCTAACCTGCTCCCCACGGGCCCCAGGGAAGGAAACCGGCCTGTCTGCTGAGCAAAACGTAACGTGACCTTTAAACGTGACCTTGACGAGGACTATGTAGTCACAGAAAAGACGCCACTTAAAAATAAAGCAGGACAGAAAGGATTACACGTACTTCGGAAAGAGAAAAAAAGACCGGAAGGAAGAGTATGAAGCCGTTCGTAGGATTTGGGTTGGGGGCCTACGGGTGCCTTTTTCTTTCCGTTCTCTGTTGTCTTCCATCCTCCTACACTGACCGCATCTTACTTTTACCCTGGGAAAGGGAACGCGTCCATCCCGCACTGACGCTGGCATGCAGTGAGCCCCCACTTGGGGGCCCCAGGCACCAGCAGGCCGAGCGTCTGAGGGGCTTCTCCCCGATTCTGTCGGGCCCCAGACGTCCCCCCCTGGGGCCCTGGGAGCCGCGTGTCACCGTCACCCCCGGCTGAGGGGCTCGGGCGGGAGGCGGAGCCGCCGCGGACCCACCTGCTGATGCAGTCGCCCTTCCGGCCGTAGGCGTGGATGACGCCCAGGCCCTGCATGGTGGAGGTGATGTGTGAGAACCAGGGCGCCCGGCTGAGGTTCTCCACCTTCTTGAGCTCCTGCACCCCTCTGTGGAAGACGCTGCGGGGGCAGCAAGGGGGTGGCCCGTGGGGTCTCGGAGCCGGGCTCCCCTCAGCCCACGCAGATGCGGCCATGCGCCCGAGACAAAGGTCAAGTCGGGGGGCGGCGAACTGGGGGCTGGGGTTGGCCCACCGCCCTGGTCTAGGAGGGCCGTCCGGGTTGTGTGTGTGTGGGGGGGGGGGGGTCGTCCTGTAAACAAGGGTCTCACAATGGGGCCGTTCCTCCCTGTGGTCTCGTTCCGAGTGCTCCTGGGAGCAGGAGTGGCTCACCACCCGCCACCTGCGGCACCATTCTCGTCCTAAAGACCAGGCCTTTCACACGGGGCAGCCCGAGATAGAGCCAGCCCTCTTCGGTGCCCAGCCAAAGGAAGGGGGTCTTTTCCAGTTCGGGGGGACAACCTGAAACTGGGGACTTGCCTGCCCGTCTCCCCAAGGGGTTTTCGAGTAAACGTCACAGGAGCCTCAGGAGCTGCCCTTGAACCTGAGCCCTCCGCAGGCCACCCCCGGGGGACCCGTGCTCGGACAGAGTCACCCAGCCGCGTGCAGGTTTTGCCGGCCCCTTCGCAGGGGACGGGGCGCCGACCTACCGGAAGAGAACGCAGAAGCCCACGGCGAGGCCGGCCAGCACGAGCAGGACGGCGGGGAACACGGCCCCCAGGATCAGCAGCACGGACAGCACCATGAAGAACTGCTGCAGGAAGTTCTCCGTGTGGAACGGCAGCCGCACGTCCAGCTCGTCCATGTCCTTGGAGAACTGGTTCATGAGCCGGCCGCTGGGCGTCATGTCGAAGAAGCTCATGGGGCTCCGCAGGACCTGCGGGCACGGCCAGGGAGCCCGTGGGTCGGGGTGTGCGTCCAGGCGGGCCCGGCTGGGGTGCCGAGCGAGGGCTGGCTGTCCTGCCGAGGCCCAGTGAGAGGGGCCAGACGCTTGCTGGGCCCCCCCTGAACAAGAGTGGACACGGGACTCGGCCTCTGCATGGAGCTTCCCTCCTCTGAATCCAGGGGTGCAGCCTGGGGCCCCTTTGGAGGATGGAGGGGTTTTGTGCCCGAGGCAATAAACAGCCAAGTTCCACTTAAGTGTGGGCCACGCCTGTGCACGCTGGCCCCGAGCCATCCCAGCGAGCGGAGGGGTGCAGAGCACCTCTGAGGTTCTCGATGGGCTCAGGGCTCTTGGGAGCAGGGGACGCCCTCATGGCCACTCATGTCTGCCCAGTGCGGCACCCTTGGGGGACCTTCCTGACCACCCCCAGCCTAGCCTGAGGGCCAATGACACCCCACTGCAGCAGACGTCAGGAGACTCTCCCGGGACTCGACGGTGAGCCCCACGAGTGCCGTGCCTGTCCCCAGAGCCCAGCACCGTGCGTTGGAGCCACAGGCGCTCCCCAAACCCCGTGGGCCCAGGAGCCGGCTGAGGGTGCAGCCCCCCAGGCTGTACCTTGTCAAACAGGTGGTCGTGCAGCCAGGAGGACGCCATCAGGGTGGTCTTGGTGAAGGTGAGCCCTTTGACGATGCCGAACACCAGCACGCACGCCATGCTGCCGGCGTACACCCACGGGAGCATGCCGTGGCCTGTGTCGGCCAGCACGGCGCCCAGCTCGCACGAGCTCTGCACGCTCTGGGGCCCGCAGATCGCCTGGGCAGAGCAGCAGGGAGAAAGCACCAGGGGTCGGCAAACGGCCGGGAGAGGCGGACTTTTCCGGGAAGAGGAAATCGGAGCGAGGTCATGATTGTTAAGAATGAGCCGGGTGGTCAAACCAAGTGGGTTCCCTTCGGGGGGCCTCCGAGCTTTGCCTGGGTCCCCCTGCCAGGCCACGGCGACCCCAGCCGGCGAAGGAGACCAGCCAGGCAGACACAGGGCAGCGGTCCTGCGAGCCACCTGAGCCCAGAGCACTGGAGGTGACACTGGGCCAGGAAGGGGCGGGAGCAAAGGAGACGGGAACTCCAGGGGGCCGGCTGAGCACCTGTCAATCAAGGACCTGCCTCCACCTGCAGAGCCACTTGGCCTTGGGGGAGACTCGGGCCCTCCCTCCGTGTGGCAGGGAGGCCCCAAGCCCCTCCCTCTTCTTTGCTAAGGCGCACCGCCCTGGAGTCCCTGGGGGGGAGGGGAGGGAGGGAGCCTGGTGACCCAGGGCCCTGGGACGGTCGGAGGAACCTCGGTGGCCGCACCCGCCCAGGGAGAGCATGGTTTTTTGCCAGCGTTTGCAGAGAGCAGCTGTCTCTTCCCCCTGAGAAACCAGCCGTTCCATTTTCCCCTGAGTCGGGCGCTAAAAGTCAGGGCTGCCTTCGGGGAAGAGGCAAGCGTCCGCCTTCTAAACACCGTTCTGCTGCTGACAGCCGCGGCCGGAACGTAAGCCCGAGGTGGCGGCTGACAGATGAACGCCCATAAAAGCAAAAGTGTCCCCGGGGCGCCCACTGACGAGAGAGGCGGCCGCGCGGGGCCCCGTGGCTGGGGGACGGGCAGACACGGGTCCGCCACCGCCACTGCCTGCCCCGTTAGCCAAACACCCTGACTGGGAGGAGGCTGCACCCGGCCGGAAGCCTCGGGCTCTCCGGGAGCGAGAGGGCGGGGACCTGGGGGCACACAGCGGGCCGCCCGTTGGCTTCTGCCCTTGGGAATGGCCTCAGGAAGCCGCGCCCAACTCCAGGGGGACTGTCGCGCCTCTCCGCTGCCCACACTTCCCCAGTGCCTCCGCACTGTGGTTGCCATAGCAACAGAACTGTACCAAAATGCAACCTTGGCGGATGGGCAGGCAACCCCTGAGCATTCCCTGGGCCTCCATTGGCCGAGAGCTGGGCGAGCTTCCAGCCTGTTCCAGCGAGAGCTGAGTCATCGGTCCCCCCTGCCACCCCAGGAGGGGCCCTGGCCCAGCGAGAGCCTCGGGAGGCAGAGAGAGAGGCACCCAGGGGCCCGCAGCACCCCCGGGGGCCAGTCTGACTCTTGCATGCCTCAGTCCCGCAGAGAGGCTTTGGGGAGCAGGGCCTGGAAGGGTGGAGCCCTCCAGCGCCAGGCAGGGTCAGTGGCTGGATGCAGGGGCAGGAGGACAGGGGCCCGGTGGGCTTCCCCGGCCCCTCACGACACAGGCTGCGCCCTGGGCCCTGTGCTGCATATCTGTGGCCCCACAGATGGGCTGTACCCGCCTGGGACCATCGTTAGCCAATCCTTTCAAAACCGAAGGTGGTAAACCACACTCTGATGCCCCGTTCGTTCATCTTGAAGGGGACTCTCCAGGGTTGCAATCGTGTGGCGTAAGCAATGGCTTCAGCCCCTCGGGCTGGGGCCCCCTGGGAGGCAGCCCAGCCCCCTGTGTGGCACTGGGTGGGGCGGGGCTCCGGGAGCCACGGCCTCAGTGCTTCCCAGGGCTGGGGGGTGGGGGGGACACTCACCTGGGAGCCCTGGTCCAGCCAGAAGCCCAGCCACCAGTTGCTGAAGGCGGAGCTGCCGATCATCAGGAGGAAGAGGGACACGGTGAAGAGGGACAGGCAGTACCCTGCGAGAGGGGGGAGGGAGAGGTCCGGCAGGTTCTGGGCAGCGGGAGTGCCGCGGGTGCCGCTCCCTCGGGCCCAGCCCTGATGGGAAGTTCCAGACCTGCAGGAAAAGGGCCCCCCCAGCCCTGGGAACCCCCTTCCAGGCTGATGGGACACTCCTGGGGGTGTGGCCCCTGAACCCGCATCGGGGCGCCCGTCCCCCTGGTTGGAGAGCAGATCCACATTGTCAGCCTCTGGAAAACCACCACTACACGCTCTAGGGGACGCGACCGGCTTTCTTGGGAAACAAGCAGGTTACAGCCGGGCCGTGCCGGGGAACCACAGAGGCGTGCCGGGCGGCCGAGCCTGGACGCTGTGCTGAGCCGATGGCCGTGCAGGGGGGAGGTTCTGGGACCGCGGCTGGGCTACGCCACCGCTCACTCGGCCCCCCTAACCGGAGCCCGGCGGCTTCCATGGAGATGCAGGGCGGGCCGTTTCAAAGGCTGTATTACCAGACTTTGGGTTTTTAGTGTGTGTGTGTGTTGGGGGTGGGGGGCGGTTAAAAGCATTGATCAACAGCCCGTCTAAAGAGAGGACTTGTTACAGAAATCATGCAACGTGAACCCAGCAGTCTAAGAAGGAATTTCCTCTCAAAATGCAAAGTCAATCAACTCGTGGATTGTTTGGTACCGAACCTCCAGCCGCCATAATGTACGTGTGGTATGTTTTCCAGGTCACGGTTCCTTCCCGGCGGCCTCCGGGCTGGACGAGCTGGTGCAGAGAACCTGTGCGGCAGACACAGTGCTGCAGCCCCCAGCGGGGGGCGGGGTGGGGGGGCCCTCCCACACACCCCAGGCCACCACTTCGGGCCGGGGTCCTCCCCGCCATGTGCCCCGGGCTTCCAGGTTCTCGTCGCACATTGGTGATCTGATCTGGTCCTCGTGACAGCCCTGGGGGCAGCTGGCTTCTGGAAGTCTTTTCGAGAACTGTTTGCTAAGCACCTACTATGTGCTCGGCCCCCAGGGAAACAGGGATTGTCTGGCCAAGTTCTCCCCGAGCAGGTGCGAAGGTGAGGCTACGGGTGCACGTGGGTTGGGCAGGGGCCAGAAGGAGCGGGGGAGCCAGAGCAGGCAGCGGCGAAGGGTGCCGGCACCGCGCCAGCCGCGTCTTAACCCCACGCAGAGGGACTGCCGGCCTGGGCAGACCCCCCGGAGGCGGAGGGCTTCTCACGGGATCTGAGGGATCCGGGATCCTTCTGCACCCACCCCCATCGGCCCCTGGGGGAGGGCGGCTCCCTGGGGGGTAGACTCCCAGCACTTTCAGCGTGACCTTCGACCCTGCCCCTGAGAGGCCCCAGGCACAGGAGAGCGGAGGGCGCCCCCAGCCTCTGCTGCGGTGGACGGAGGAGGAGGCGGCCTGACCTCTCGGAGCTCACGCCACGCCGGAGACACCCCGGGGTCCTCCGGGGTTGGCCCCCGCCTGGACTCCTGGTCCCACCTCATGGCTGTCCCAAGTCCTCTCTGCGGTCTCAAGGCAAGGGAAGTGACCAGCCTGTTCTCGTGGAAGCCACGCCTGGGGAGCGGGTTGGAGCCAGCCCTGCAGCCAGGACAGCGCGCGGCTCTCTCCGCTGTCCTCCGGAGAGGCGTGGACGTGTCGGCCCCGAGGCAGAGTCCTCGGCCTCCCTCGGCCTTTACAAGCAGCGACGAAAACCAGAGCTAGACGCGGGGCTCCGGGCCCCGGGCCGCGCGCACCCTCCTGGACGGCACGCTCCCGCTCCTCAGAGGCGCCTCTGTGCGGGCTTGGCCCCTGGTTACCCCTCGCCGGAACCTCTCCCTTCTCGCCCCTGCGCGACCCGCCGGCCTGACTCCGGCTCCTCCCGTCTCCCCTGGGAGGGTGAACCCAGGGGGCCGCCTCGGCGGGTGGGCGCCCTGCAGGGAGGCGGCTGGGCCGGGCTCCGCTCACCTGGGCTGCGCTCCCGCGGGTGCCCAGGCCAGGCCAGGCCTGGCGGGCAGCTCCGCCTTCACCGGGTCCCCTCCCTGTGGCCTCCGGGTGAGTTAACTTCACCCCTTTGCTTCGCTCTCCAGAGAGGGGAGTTGGGGGGGGATGCGAGAACGGCCCAGGACCCCAGACCCGGGCAGCCTGGGCGTCCGGGCAAGCAGCTGGCGGCGGCCGTGGCAGCCTGCGGAACAGCGAGGACGCCGCTTTCCCAACGCGCACGCCTTTGTCACCAGCCCTTTCCGGGTGCCGAGTCTCACCCGCCGGATTGGAAGACGCGTTTCCCCACGTTTTCACGCCTCTGAGATCAGGCGTGCTTCCGCGCCGCGCCGTCTCGCTGGCAGAGGCCTTTCCTTCTAACCGTGGGGGCGCCTGCACGGGGGCGTGTTCACGGGGGTGCCGGCGGTCCTAACCCGGGTGGCCGAGGAGACCTGGTGACAGAGGCTCCGGGGTTTTTAGCTACACGCCATGGAGGGAGAGAACCTCGAACGCAGTGGGCGCTCTGAGGAAAGAGGGGGCGGGCCTCGCCCCCTGTCCTCTCTCGCTGCCCAGCACGGGGCAGGGGCTCAGCCGTGTTGAGCGGATGAAGGATGGATGGAGACAGGGCCCGAGGCCACGGAGAGGCCGCCGGACCAGCCTGGCCCCTGCAGGGCCCATCTGCTACCTCGCTCCTCTCTGCCTTCCCGGATTCCTTCTCGCCCTCCACCCCAAGCCCTCCCCACCCCTGCCTTGTGTCGCTGGCACACTCCTACATATCCTTGAAGGGCCGGTCCAGAGGCTGCCTCCTCTGTGAAGTCCTCCCTGATTTGCTACTCAGACCGCAACTCCCCATTACTCTCGTTACAGCATCCCATGATGCCCCACTGGCCTGTGCCTGCCCCCTGCCCCCACCCCAGACCCTGAGGACAGGGATGTACTGTCCCCCTCTTCTCAGACTGGCCAGGGGCCGGCACGTAGCTGATTGCTTAGTCCTGATTTGTTCAAAGCGTGACTAGCCTGGCCGCGCCACCAAGCGGCTCCTGCCTGGGCGCCTGCCTCCAGCGAACCTGACGGCGCCCCGTGCAGAGCTCCGACCTTCTCAGCTAGTACCAGTCATCACGGTTGAGGGCCGTCGTGTGTCGGGCACTCTGCTCATTATTCTACGTGCAGCTTCCTAAATAGTTGTTGTGCAAGAACCCACGAGGCTGGCACTCCTGCTTTCCCATTTCGAGGATTGATAAGCTGAGGTTCGGGGCGGCCCCGTGTTCTCGCTCAAAGCCGTAAAACAGGTCAGTGGTCGAGGCAGGATGCAGACTCCGGCCCCGGGACCCTCAGGCTCGCCCTGCGGCGAACCCCAGGACCCTGGTCGGCCCACAGGACAAGCACGGCGCGTCCACTTCTCTGTCCCGAGCCACGGACGCTCCACAAACGCAGGGCCCGGCAGAAGTCACACCTGCTTGAGTGTGGTTGCCAGGCTGATCACATGGGTGTCCTCACTTTGAGTATCAATGTGAACATGTCACCTAAAATGCCCCACGGCATGCTGGAGCGTGACACTGTCATGTTACCGAGTTACGTGCGTGTGATTTTGTAATGAAAGAGGGGCTTCATTTGTGCTGCGCCCTGCATTTCGGGGCACGTACCCAAGGGAAGGAACGCTAGGTACCTTTGGCATCCACGAACTCCGAGTGGGTGTCGGCTTCCTCTCCTTCCTCTGTCTCCTCTCCTGGGGCCGAAACTAGGAGGAGAAAGAGACAGCTGTGTGTCCGCTCAGGGGCCACGGGGAGGGCGGGAGGCGTGATTCGAACTCGGGGCGTACCGGCCCCTTCGTCTCTGTCCTCGGGGCTCTCCTTGGGCGCTTCCACCATCGCCGTGTTGTAAATGTGCTCGGGGTCCTGGAGGCGGAACGAGACGCCCTCTGAAAGCAGCGTGACGGACCTTCCCGCGGGCCGGAGGCCGGGAGGGGCGGCCCGGTGCCAGCCGCCAGGCGCCCGGGCGCCCGCGTACCTTGAAGTGCAGCCCGCGGAGGTTGTGCACCAGCTTCGCGTAGCGCCCTCTGTCCTCCATGAGCTCCCTGTGGGTGCCCTTCTCACAGATCTCCCCGTCTTCCAACAAAACCACCTCGTCGCAGGACTCCAGGAACTGCGGAGACAGGGGCCCCGCTGCAGCGAGCTCCTGCTCGGCAATGGGAGGGCCTGGGCTTCCCGGGTCTTCTAGAAACTTCTCCCTTTTCCAGCTGGAAGAAGGGTCTTGGCCCCCCTGAGCCTGAAGGCAGGACCACGACAGGCCATGCAGACAGGGGTGGGCAGTGCTTGGTCAAGGAAGCAAGGGGGACGGGGGTCTCCAGTGCGTCCCCCCACCCGACCCCGTCCAGGTGAGGACAGCCCCGCCCAGCAGAGCAGGGGTAGGCAGCGGAGGAGGGGACTGGCATGGGGGCCGCACCCACCCCGTGACCCCATGACCCCATGGGTCCTTCCGGTCCCAGCCACCTGCAGCTGGTGGGTCACCAGGACGACCGTCTTGCCCCGGAGCGTCTTCTTAATGCACTGCTCGAAGATGTGCTTCCCCACATGGGCGTCCACGGCCGACAGGGGGTCGTCCAGCAGGTAGATGTCGTGGTCGGAGTACACGGCGCGGGCCAGGCTGATCCTCTGCCTCTGCCCCCCGGAGAGGTTGAGGCCCCGCTCCCCGATCTGCGGACAGGGGCCGAGGCTACTGCCTGTCACCGGGCCCCTCCCAACACCCCACAGTCCTTGGGGAGCAGGAGCTCCCCGAACCTTCTCCAGTCTCCCCTGCAGACTGGTCGTCACCACGCCCCAGCTCCTCCACCCCTGGCAGGGATGCCCTGGGCGTGAAGACCCCACTGCGGCCGGGAGCCCAGTGGCCAGTGGCGACCGGGGACTCCCCAGTGCTGGGCGGGGGCGCCTGGCCCCCCCCCCCCCGCAGGTGCAGGTGCCGTCGGCAGGGGCTCCATCTTGCTCGCTCCCACCGGGGAGGACTGTGGAGCGACGCTCCGGAGAGCGGGCAGGCTCACGGCGGGGGACGGGGCGGGGAGCCGCTGGACCGGCACGTGGGGGCCGTGTGTGGAGGGGGCCCTCGCACTCCCGAGCGCAGCAGAGGCAGTGAGGACAAGAGGGGCCCTGAGACTACGGCCACAGCCCACCACTCGGGCCTCCGTCCCCCCGGCCTCGGGGTGAGGAAGCAGCTTCAGCCAGAACCTCCCCCGAGATGAGGGGCTGATGGGAAGCGGCCCCGGGCGTGACCACAATGACCCAACACGAGAGAGCTGGTGGCATCTCCATGGTGACGTCCCCCAAGGAGATTTCGAGGTGGGAGAACCTGACTCCCCTGCCTTTGCCGGGACCTTTCTGTCCTCGGGGGGCGGCATTGGTGCGGCGGGAGCTGGGCTGCACCACCACCCTTCGGCTCCGGGCAGTCGGGCTGCCTGGTGGGGGCCTCGGGGCCTCGGGGCCACGCTCCAGGCTCCGCTCACCTCCGTCAGGTCTCCGTAGGGAAGGTCGTTGAGGTCCTGCTGCAGGGCGCAGACCCGAACCGTGTGCTGGTACCTGGGGGGGCAGAGGGCGGAGGTCAGCATGGGGAGGAGCGCCCCACCAGCATGACCTCCGGAGCTGCATCTAGAGACAATGCCGTTTCGCGGGGCCGGGCGAGGGGGTGGTGGCTGCTTGTCTCTGATGTCCCAGGGCAGCTTCCTGGGACCCCTGGCCTCCCCCGACCTGACGCGGAGTCCACCCGGGAGGGCCGCCTCTCCTCCCCGGGCCTTGGCCTCGTCACCTGAGGAACGGGGGGGCCTGTGGCCCGGGTCCCGCTGCCGGGATGGCTGTGGACCCTGAGTGAGAGCCTGCACAGGGCAGCCCCCCAAACTCGGCGAAGAACCACGGGAGCTCGGAGCTAGGGGTCAGTGACCCGCAGTGCCTGCGACGTCGTGACGCAGGCCCCGCTGTGGTCCCATCGGATCACCTTGAGTGTCCTGAGACCTTGGTGCCAGCTCGTGAGACTGCGGGGCCCGCTCGCTGCCCACGTGGGGCCTAGGGTTCCAAGCCCACTTCCGGGTGCTTGGCCTGACGCAGGCTTGCCAGACTTACCCTCCTCCAGTCTGACAACCCATGCACGGTGACAGCCCCCTGAATGCAGAGTGACAGGCCCCTGAATGCACAGTGACAGCCCCCTGAATGCAGAGTGGCAGCCCCCTGAATGTAGAGTGGCAGCCCCCTGAATGCAGAGTGACAGGCCCCTGAATGCAGAGTGACAGGCCCCTGACTGCAGAGTGACAGCCCCCTGGTGCAGAATGACAGCCCCCTGACTGCAGAGTGACAGCCCCCTGACTGCAGAGTGACAGCCCCCTGAATGCAGAGTGGCAGCCCCCTGAGTGCAGAGTGACAGCCCCCTGAATGCAGAGTGACAGCCCCCTGAGTGCAGAGTGACAGCCCCCTGAGTTCAGAGTGACAGGCCCCTGAATGCAGAGTAACTGGCCCCTGAATGCAGAGTAACTGGCCCCTGAATGCAGAGTGACAGGCCCCTGACTGCAGAGTGACAGCCCCCTGAGTGCAGAGTGACAGGCCCCTGGACACATGCAGCTCTGCGCTGGGATCCGTCCATGCCCAGGGCACGATCACGGATCGGTGGGATGGGCAGGAGGCGCCGCCACCCCCGCACTCTCAGTCAGGAGACACCAACGCCCCTCCGGACCCGATCGGAGCGGCACCAGCCCTCGACAGAGAGGCCCGCCTAGCAGCCGTGGCCAACGGCGCCGCCGCCCGTGGCGGGAAGCCCTGAGCTCCCCAAGGCGGCGTTACCTCTGGTGGTTGTACTGGGCCCCGAACAGGATGTTCTCCCGCACGCTTCCGTGGAAGATCCACGCCTGCTGGGACACGTAGGCCAGGGTCCCGCTGACCGCCACCACGCCGTGCTGCAGCTGCATCTGGAGACACCGGCCCGGAGGCCCTCAGCAGCCAACCGCGCAGGTGTCTCCCCCGGGGGGGCCTGTTGGACACTCGCCACCCCCCTCGTCCCGTGAGCACTCGTCCTGAAGGTGCCGGGGGGCGGCAGGAGGTCTCAGCCCGTCACTGGCACGTGGCTGCTGCGTCTTCACAGCGACCTGCGCGGCTCACCTGCCCCAGGAGAGCGGCGATGAGGGAGCTCTTCCCGCTCCCCACGTTCCCGCAGACGCCCAGGACCTTCCCCTGCCGGAGAAGCAGAGAGGGGCCCAGTCATCCTCCCTGTCCTCACGGGGTCCGGGGACCAGAGGGTCCCCCCTGAGCCGCACAGGCGGGACCCAGGGGTCACCACTGGCTCCAGGAAGGAGGTGGCGGGTACAGCCTCGCACCCCAGCCCGGATCCCAGCGCAGAGGAGGCAGGGGCCGAGTCTGGAGAACCCGGTGCGGGCGCTGGCCCGGGACACCGGGGCCCCGGACACGAGGGAGGTCCGGTGCCCAGGCTCCAGGGGCGGGAACCCGGTAGGGGTGACGGGCCCGCTGGGGGACGGTGGACAAGGTGAGGAGGTGAAATCTGCGGAAGGAGGTCAGCTGCGTGCAGGGAAACGGACAGAAGTGGGGGGCGGCGTGGAGCGGGAGAAGCCTCCTGGCAAAGGCCCAGGTCTGAGCGTGAGTCCTCTCGGAGAGGACAGATAGATGGACACAGGCCCTCGGGGTCAGAGACCAGGGTCAGACCAGCTTGTTCAGGAGGAGGGGGTCGCACGGCACAGCGCAGGCCGCAGAGCTGCGGTGGGAACATCCGAGAACACCCTCATTACAACCCGCTCCCTGGGACCCCTTAGAGCAAAAACGCCCTCCTGGGGACGAGTGTGGCTCCTTCCACACCCTGACGGGCCACCAGGGCCCATCACCTGCCTGCCTCCCCCAGCCCCTGAGGGCTGCTGCCTGTCATCACAAGTCCCGGTGACAGACTGTGTACGGAGCACCAGGCGCCCTGCCAGGCCCCGGGGGGTGGGGGGGGGAACGTGCACGGCCACGGAGGCAGCTGTGGCCGCTGCCCCTCGGGGCCCCCGTTGCCATGGAAGCTGCAGGTGAGCGAGGCTGACCCGTTTCATCTCCACGACAGGACCTCAAGGGACGGGGGCATCCTGGAGACTTGGGCACAAGAGGCCACAGGCCTGGACTCGACCTCCTCAGGCACCTGGCTGTCCTCGGGGTCCGGCCGGCTGCTTGGGGCCCGGTCTGAGTTGTTCTAGATTCCTCCCTGTCCCCCGAGGAAAACCCACGAGGCACACACCCCCCAGGTTCCGACTATTCATTTGTTTATTCGGAAAACAAGGCCGGGGACCTTCTCGGCGCCGGGCGCTGGGCTCCGAGTACAAGGCCACGGCTGTGACCAAGGCTGACGCCTGGGCTGGCCTCCGGGGGGGCCGCCGCCCCGTGGAATCACAGCGGGGCAGCGACAGCCCCTGCCCCGCGGGGCCACGGGGGCGGTTACATGAGTTACTGACGTGCCTGCTCATAAGCGTCAGCTGCTGTCATCCGAGAGAGGACTCCAGCCTGAAATTAAGAACAAACCTCGGAGCATTTACAAAAGCCGGTCCGGCTGGGCCTCGGCCACCCCCTTCTTCTCTCAGTGGAGACGTCTCCGCTGTGCAGGTGCGTGGTTTTAGCATTTGGGGCCGAGAGCAGCCTGGTTAGAGCCACCCCGCCACCACCTGCAGCCCAAACGGCCCCTCGGGCGGCCGGGAGGCGACCAGGGCTGCGTGGCCCTCGGTGAGGGGCTCAGACCCACCTTCCTCACGGCCAGGCTTATGCCGTGCAGGACCGCCTTGCAGCTGCCCTCCTGCCCCTCCGGGCCGACAAGGTCCTGGGCCGACGGGCTCAGGCTGTACGCCTCCAGCCGCTGGCTTTTGAGGAAACGTTTTTTTTTCTGGGTCTCCGCTCTCTTTAGGTCGCTTTTCCTGCCGGCGCCTTGCTCCCAGGTCAAGGTGGCATTTGCTAAAAGCAAGACAGTGTCTGGGCCTTCCGGCTGGGTGATGTAGGAGGGGAGGCTCTTAGCTACGAGAATTTTCTACGATTAAAGAGACAGAAAGGAACGGGGTCGGCGTCGCCCGTTTTCGGGGACCGTCCCGGTACGGTACGTCTCCCAGGGGCCCCGGGGCACCACCGCGGCGGTTCCCCCGGAGACGCCCAGGAAAACCGTTCTGAGCACATCCCCCCGGGGGACCTGCAGCGGAAACGCCCCCCCCCGCCCCCGCCCTGGGTAGGATGGCGGCACTGTGGCCACCAGGCGGCGCTGTGGCCACCAGGCGGCGCTGTGACCACTGGCCGTGCAGGTCACCCTTGAGGAGCACGCTGGTCCCCGCTACGCATCACCCTCACGCCCGGGGCGGCGGCTCTGGCCACTAGTCTCCCGGTGGTGGGCTTCACGGCGTGGCACTGGCGCCTGTGACACTGAGGCCGCCTGCCCAGTGTCCACTGTGTCCTCCTCCTGGGCCCCCACTCCGCTCAGCTCCTCAAAACACCTGCCAGGGGCCTCCTGTGCACCGGACCCCGGGGTGAACCCCAGAAATGCCGACGTGAAAGGAGCACAGCTCCTGTCCTGGAGGGGGGCGCAGTCCGAGGGGACGCAGAGGGGACGGGGGACGGGCGCGGATCGTTTCAGCGAAGTGTGGCGGGGACAACGCAGAGCAGGGACACGGGGCCCCCGGTGCTAGGGGCCTGTGCAGGATGGCCTGAGCCCGCCGGTACAGGGGCTGGGCAGCAGGACCAGGCAGGGTGGAGTGGGGGGGCTTCCCGCTGCGGGGCGCAGTGGGAAGCCGAGGCCGGGAAACGCGGGGTGCAGCCAGCAGCCCGGGGTGACGGAGGCCCAGAGCTCGGGGTGGGGAGGGGACAGGAAGTGAGGCGGAGACACAGCTGGTGGACAGCTGAGTCGCAGTGCGGCGGGGGACAGGGGCCCAGCCATGTCCAGCAGGTGGATGCCAGTGGGCAGGCCAGTATTTTGGCAGCCCCCCGGGCGCCGAAGGCAGCCTGCCTGTGAGGGGGACAATGTCGGGGAAGGACCGTCGCTCCGTGAGTCCCACGAGAGTTCAGATGGGGACACGGGGGGGCTCTGAATGAAGGCCAGGGCTGGGGGGCTGGGGGGCGGGGGAGCCAAGAAACAGCGCCGTCGCTCTCCTCTAAGGGACCCGGGGTCATTACGCGACGAGGCTGGATCGTGCGTTTTGTTAAAAAAAGGAAAGTGGTCATTCAAGGATGCACCTCCGCCTCAATCTTGGAAATGGCGCCTTTTAGAACGCAGGCGACCCGGCGAGCGGGAGCCGAGCCGGCAGGGCTCTGGCGGGTGAGGTGCGGGCGCGAGGGCGCAGAGGCGCACGGGCACCCCGGGGTGCTGGGGCCGGCTCCCGGGTCTCTGGCTCCGGGGAGCAGGGCCTGCCGGCCGTTCGCAGACACGTGGACATGCCCCCCCCATCCCCGCCCCCGTCCTGGCTGCGACTTCAGAGCCCCTTCCCCTGCCCTCCCTGTGCGCACTGACCCCCCGCCGCGCATGGAATTGGGTCCCCTGGTCCCACACCGGCCCGGGCCTCCGAGAGCAAAGACTCTCCCCTCCCTGCGTCTGCCTGTCCCCCAGGCCTTGTGCACGGGAAGCACACGGGAAGTCTCGGGCGAACAAATACACGCAGGAACGGAGTGACTCGTGCATAAGTGGGTGCCCCGTCCCCTGTCCCACACTCGTGAGAGGATCACACTCGTGGCTGCAGACAGGTAGCCCCCCACCCCCGGGTAGAGAGGAGAGGGTCAGTAAGCGGCCTCTCAGCTCGGAGACGCCCTCTCCGTGTCCCTCCGAGGGCAGACCACCCACCGACAGCTCTTCGCCTGTCCCAGCCCCCACACGTGTACCCCTCCGGGTCTGCACGGGGGAGCCCCCCACCGCCCGCTGTGTCCTCCCAGCCCAGGACCCAGCCCCCCACCCAGGGGTTGACTCGGCTTCCCCGGAACCTGGGAGTTTCCCCACCCCCCCCAAACGAGCCCCCCCCACTCCCCGCGCCCTCCTCGCTCCGGGCTGGTCATACCTTCATCCTCCGGAGAGAGACGCTGGCCTCGGCCGCCGCCTTGATGGAGAAGGGCAGGATGGCGATGGAGAACTTCATCACGTTGAACATGGCGATCACGCTGAAGGCCTGGGGGCGGAGGGGGGGAGGCTCGGGACGGGGCGTGGCCTGGGCCCCGAGCTCACTGAGACGCAAACAGGGTGGTGCGGCGGGGGTTCTCGGGCGGACAACTTTGCTCGTTTCATGGCTCACACATTTTGCTTTTGCATCTTCACCAGCGAGGTGGGGAATCTGTCCCGTCTCCGGGGCAACCAGGCCCTTGGGGCGGGGGGCTGGGGGGGGCTCTGACGGCCTGCCTTCGGGAGCCCCATCCGAACCACATTTGAACTTGGCCTGCGCCGTGGACTCAGACCCCACACAGATCTCCCCAAACCGTTCCCATCTCTTAGCTGCCTCAGAAGCATCTGGCCCTTGGAGTCGAGCCTCCGGCTCCGCACGGCACGTGGCCCCGGGTCCGGCTTCTGCACACAGCGGGGACAGACTGACAGCCCTCCTTCCCCGGCCCCTCCCCCCCACCCGAGGTCCCTGCCCCTCTTCGCTGGGGCCTCCCTCCCTGAGCCTGGCCCAGCGGGTTGGGCAACATCCCAGAGGCTCCAGGAAGATCTTCACTGGGGCGGTGCCCTGGGCGGGGCGGGGCGGGGGGAGGGGCGTGGCCTGCAACTTCATCTTCTCGTCTGTGCGACTGGGAGTCAGCAGCCGTCCGCGCACCACCCGTTTACGGTTACGTAAACCCAAGTTCCATGGACAAGTCCGGAAGGACCCTGCCTGCCATCCCGCGAACCCCAGGGCCCGGCGGCAGCTCGTCCCCGTTGGGGCGCTGAGAGAGTGACCCAGGTTCTCAGCCCCGCCCACCCCCACCCCCCCCCCGAGGGCCCGGCGCCCGCAGGGCCCGCAGGGCTGTCTGGGCCCAGGAAACACAGGCCCCGGGGGACACCCGTTCGGCATGTACCGCGGGCCTCGCCCTGTCCCGGCGCTTTGCCCAAGAGACCTTCGCCGGCCCTCACGGCCACGGACACTCCGCTCGCCCCACGGAGGGATCACAGAGTCCAGGCAGGAGAGGTTCTGGGGTGTGCCGTAAGTCCGGCCTCTCCCCGCACAGCCCTGGGGGACCCGCAGCCCCGCCCACCCAGAGAGCCCCCCCAGACACCGCCCCCGCACCCCGGGAGCAGCGTCTGTGAGTCTGTGAGGGTGAGACAGTGCACTCAAGCCCCGGACACATACGGCGTGTGAGTTGGCCGGAACCAGGGTGGGGGGCAGAGCAGAGGCGAGAGCATGTTCCCATCGGGGCCCGGCGGTGGCCGCACGGGGGAGGGGTCTCATCACATCGCCGGTGCCAGACCGTCCCGGCCTGACGTTGGCTGCCCGGGGGTGGGGGGCTGGTCGGGGCTCTTCCTCTGCCAGACACAGAACCCCACCCCCACCCCAGGGAGACGGCACTTCACTCCGACTGGGGCGGCTGTCGTGACAACAGAGAGGACAGGACAGGAAGTGCGGGCCACCACGGTGCGAAGGGGGAGCCCTGGTTGGCACACAGCTGGGGTGGGGGGGGGGGGTCTGGGATTGCGCAGCCGCTCTGGACGGCAGACTGGCAGCTGCTTGTTTGGCCTCGATGCGGTTTTCCAAACATCAGGCGTGTTCCAGCGACCCCTGCGACCCCTGGGACCCGGCCACAGACCAGGGAGGGTCTTGTCGTGTGGACTAAAGCAGGAGCAGGCGGGCCGAGGCCAGGGCCGGCGGAGAGGGGAGGAGCCGCCCACCCGGCCCCTGCTGGCGCCGGCGGGTGCACGGAGGCCAGCGGGCGAGGCGCCCTTACCACGGAGGCGGTGAGCCGGTGGCGCAGCAGGATGTGGCCGGTGAAGGTCAGCACGATGGCCATGGTGGACGCGATGGGGGCCAGGGCTGAGTTCCCGCTCTGGACGAGTCCGGCCTTTTCCAGCAGTTTCCTTTCCTTCTTCCGTATATCTGCAACCCAGAGAGCGGGCCGGGCAGGTTTGCTCTGCATGTCAGGCCCCTGCCAGGTCCTGCTGCCGGCGAGCCGAGGGTCCCTGCTGGGAGGTGTAAGTGCGAGCACGCGGAGAGCCCCGGGCACAGAGCCAGCCCTTCCAGGAGCGCAGTGCTGGTCAGCTGCCGGCTGGACGGTGTCCAGGGTCCCCCCCACCCCCCCCGAGCCTCCTCCTCCGTGTGTCAGGATTCGATACTCAGACGCCTGCAGGGACCAGGCAGGTAAACACAAGGACGGGGCTGGGCAGGGAGTAAGGCCAGAGGGGGCGTGCGGGGGCAGCCCTGTGTGTGTGTGTGGGCGGGGGAAGGACGGCAGAGGTCGCATGTGGACGTCCCCGCTGTGGTCCAGGAGAGCACTGCAGCTGGGACCAGGGTGGGGGTGAGCGGCGGAGGGGCGGACGGATCCCAGAAATGCGCTGGAGGCACAGCCAGCCGACTCAGAGCTATTTCTGAGCTGGGTCAGCGCAGCCTCCTTGAACTTGACAAGCCGAGGCCCTCTCACCGATCAGACAGTCAGGGCCTCTCAGAGCCTTGCGCGGCGACAGTGTGGCGGCCAGTGCCTGCCTCCGGCTTGTGCTACACTGCGTTAAGCCAAACGCAACCAAACGCATCCACGTCGAGTCAGTTGTAGGGAGGCGAGTTCGGGGTGTGAAAGGGTATTTCTGGGTCCTCCCAGAGGGCCCCCTGGGGCGGGGCGGCCGGCGACCCAGCCTGGGGCCCTTCCCCTGTCAAGCTCAGGAGAAGCCGGGTCCCTACAGCCGCTCCCCGCACAGCTTCGGGCCCGATGACGGGCGGGCCGAGAAGTGTAATTGTCCGTCCGGGGAGCCCATTGTAACAGCGGTCAGATCATTAACCAGCCAAGCACCTGAGTCTCCGTCGGCGGCTGTGTAAACGGCCCTGCAATTAGATTTGCATTTGTATTTGATGGAAATGGTGCTCACATCACCTTTAACAGAGAGGCGGTGCACGCACGCTCCCCTGTGCTGGGAGCGTCAAGCCAGGGCCCGTGAGGCTCCTGCAGGCCGGGAGGGGATTTCTGTGCGAGTGTGAGTGTGCGCGCGTGTGTGTGCACACGCGTGTAGACGTCTTCTAAGTCAAGCGGACAGCTGGAGGCAGCTGTCCGTCAGCCCGCACCGTGTTAGCGGACTATTTTTGCAGGCGGCAGCTCCGGCACCGGTCAGCACCGGTGTCCTGAGCCCTGGTGAAGGCTGTGCCCTGTGGCGCTCGCCTGCCGAGCCCCTGGTCCGCAGCAACAGATGCTTCTGTTGTAAAGTCTCCCTTCCCCTTGGAAAAGCCTGAGGGATGGCTCAGGGGGTGCCCTCGGCCCCCTGCTGGGCCGCCTGACCCCGGGGAAGGGCCGTCCTAGCAGGTCGGCGCGCCCCTAGGCCGCCGCGCTCCCTACCTCGGATGGTCTTGGTGAAGGACTTCTCCCAGGCGTACATTTTAATCAGCTTGATGCAGGTCACAAACTCATTCATGGTCTGCACCCGCCTGTCCGTCGTCGAGACGGCTGACCTCCGGAAGGCGGAATTGAGCTTCGCCATGAACATCTGGAGGAATCGAGGTGTGAGCCCCGGGCTGGGGGAAGGGTGCTGGGACGCGGGCGGCCTGAGAACCCAGGACGGGGGGGGGCGGGGGGCAGGCAGGGGAGGCCCTCGGGCGGGCCGGCCTGAGGTTCTCGGCCGACGCCTTCCCTTCAGTGGCGGCAGCCAGGGTGGACGGTGGGGGGCACCGGGGGTGGAGCAGGTGGCGGGTCCCCGCCGTGTAAAGACAGTGTCCCCTCCCCGGGGCCCAGACAAACGGGGGGGGGGGGGCACGCCCCAGCCCCTCCCCGGGGCCCTCAGGCGCAAGTTTCTTCAAAAGCATCAGCGTGCCCAGGCAGGGAAGGGAGCACCCCTGTGAGCCCCCCCCCACACACACACGGGGGTCCACACCCCAGAGACGCAGCCTGCCCCCCGGTCGGGGGACCGGGGCTGTGAGACGCCAGCGTGAGGCAGCCGCCGCTGCGAAGGCCGGCCGTACCTGGATGGGGATGAACGTGACGTACACCGAGATGCCGATGAGAGCCGTGGGCCCCAGGATGAAAAAGGAGTACGCCGCGCACACAACCATGAGGATGGGGATGGTGGCTGGCAGGGGACAAAACAAGGCAGCTTCAAACAGGGAATAGCTGTCGCTCGACAGTGTGTTCACCACCTGGAGAGGAAGCACAGGGGTGCAGGCTGGGGGCGGGGCGGCCGGGCGGGTCTCAGCCGGAGGCCGGAGGCCGTCGGGGCGGCGGAGGGAGCCGAGGAGGCAGGCAGACTCTGCCTTAGAGGGCTCGGGGGTCCTCCGGGGGCCGGCGCGGCGGGTTTTGTGAGCCTCGTCCGGGTCTGACTGGGAGGAGGTCAGTCTTTGAGGACAGGGAATGCTAACGAGGAAAGACAGAGAGGGGTGTTACCGCGGGGCGGCGCACCCGAGAGACCCCCTCCGTGTTGGCACAGCCCTGCCGGAAGAAGCATGTCCCAGCCCCGGCCGGGGAGGGCATCCGGCTATGGGACCACGTTAGGGGCGACCAGATGGAACCCCAAGCGTCCGATCGATGGGACTTCGGGGGTGAGTTCTCGAAGGGAGCCGGCTCAGCTCAGAGGACACCGCCTTCTGGTCCTTCCTCCCACCAGCTCCCTGGGGCATGGCGGGACAGACGGCTCTCCAGCACCCACCTGGGACCCTCGGGGAGCCCCCAGGGAGCCCCCAGGGAGCCTGGGGTCAAGGGAGGAACGGTAGAAAGGTCCATAAGTCCCCAGACCAGCCCTGGGTGGACCTCCTCCAGGCTGTTTTTGGACACGGGGAAAGAAATTCACTTCGTTAATCCATCATGTTCTGTTCTCGGCAGCGGACCCTAATCTTAAGGGATGCAGGAGGCTTTGAACATATGTCGCGCCGTCTGGGGTTCCCTCGGCGAGGGGGATTTTCCTGCGTGCACACACGGCGAGGGTTCCGTTGCTAAGGATTAAGAGCTTAAGAAGACGTTAGCTCGGAGGGTCCAGCAGGCACGGTGCTTATTTCGGCGTTGGCACCCCGCACGCTCCATAAATGGAACCCCCGGACGTGTGGGCCGTTCCGCTCTGTCACGTGGCTGTGATGTAACCCCGGAGCACCCTGCACCCTCACTGGAGGCAAGGGGTTGGCCCGAGGTCGCCCCCAAGCCCAGCTGGCCCCAGGGGGCCACTTCCCAAATTTTCCAGCTTGAGGGGAGCTCTCCTTCTTCCCCTGGGCGATTTGAGTCCGCGCCACCTCACCGAGCCCGGGGAGGGGACCGGGTGGGCAGGGCGGCGGCAAACCAGAGGGAGGCGGCTGCTTCGCCCGGGCCGAGCATCTCACCCACAGAGAACTTGGCGCGCCGCCCTCGGTATCGGGCCCCCCTGGGCCCGCCTACCTCGCCCACAGAGATGCGCGTCAGCATCTTGAAGGACACCAGGTGCTCGAACACCAGGGTGGACACGGCCACCTTCAGCCGGATGGCCGTGCGGTAGTTGATGGCCCAGGCAAGGGCCCAGAAGAGGACCTTGGTGAACTCGGTGGCGAAGAGGGCGAGGCACAGGCCGACGCCCACCCAGACGTTCTTGGCGGTGCTCTCGGTGTGCCGGAGGATCTGGTGAATGAGGACCGTCTGGAAAACAGCGCGGCGGGGAGGGGAGCGGCCGCTGGGGCGGCAGGCCAGGCTGGGGGGCCTCCGAACTTGTCCGCAAGCCGACTGGAGGGGGCGAACTTTCTAATTAATTCCGGGGGCTGCCGCTGTGCTCGGCGAGGATCGGCTTTATGAGCATGCGCCCCCAAGGAGCTCGGGGATGATGGCAGTGCACTGAACCCACTGGCTCGTGGAGGGAGGAGCTGATGGCATTCCTGCCGGTCTGGGGGTCCTCAGGGGGGGCCGCAGGAGGGGGGCCGCCACACTCACCGGCCCCACGGCGGCCATGACGATGCACAGGATGTTGGCCACGACGTCCATCAGCACGCGGGTCCGCTGGAACTTCCAGACCACGCGGCCCAGGGAGGCTCTCTCGGGACCCTCTCTTTCCACCTCCTCGTCCCAGAGGACTCGGAGTCTGCGGGGACAGCGGAGGGTGGAGAAAGGGGACTGACATTTGCACCTGCTGCTCTGAGCCGCTCCGGGGCCGCACCTCGAGAGGGGGCTCTGCACGGCCCTCGGCCTGGCTGGGGAGGCGTGGGACGGGCAGTGTAGTCTCCCTGTGCCCCTTCACGGGGGGGCGGTGGGAGGCGGTTACAGCAGGGACCAGAGGATAGGCTGGCGCCCCGCATAGGCGGGGGGGTGGAGGGGGCACTCCCCACGCTTCGTTCCCTGCCCCCGCTGCCCGTCTCTGGGGCACGAGCAGTTCTGAGCCAAGACAGAGGCGATGGGGAGATCAAGAGGACAATCTCCTCCGGGGCGGGAGGAGCTTGTCCCTGTCACAGATGAGAGAGGACAGTGTGACAGGCAGGGGCAGCGCGGGGGAGAGGGCTGGCCCCGCCGGGGCCGGAGCTCCCGGTGCAGAGGGAGGCTTTCGGGCCGACTCGATACGATGATGCTACGTTCTGGTGGCTGGGAAATCGTGGATTATGGGGGAAGCAAAGGCAAAGTCAGGGACACCACAGAGAGACACTCGGCGTCCAGGTGAGACGCAGCCTGACACTGGGTGGGGAGAGAAGGTGGGTTTCAGCAGAGATGGACGGACAGACAGGCAGCAGGACCGACGGACAAGGGAGGTGTGCGTATAGAGGGAAGGGGGCAGGGGCCCCCGGGTGTCTGGCCTGGCCAGCTGAGTGGTCGGAGTTTGCAGGGACAGGCAAGGAGCAAGACTCGGAGATTTGACCGGGTGGGGCTGAGGGTCAGCAGCGCAGCTCTAGGCAGAGACGCTTTAGCTGTAAGACCCGGGCACGCAACTCAGAGTCTGGAAGAGAAGGTAGCGCGCGAGGAAGGTGGTCAGCCGTGTTCGCTGTCCGGGCCTTCGGAGTGGACGGACCACCCGGGAGCAGAGCGCAGCCCGCGAGACAAGGGGCCTGGGCTGCCGCCGGGAACCAGGCCGGGGACGCTAAGGGCAGGACAGCCGGGCAGGCCTCCTCCTTCCTGCCATCACCCGCAGTCTTCCCCGGACCGCAGGCTGCGGGAACCGCCCCGGACGGACCTCGCTCCCTGCAGGGCACGAGTGGGGCGGTGCGACCGCAGGGGCCATGGCCAGACCGAGATGCGAGGTCCCAGCCCTTGAAGCGCACGCTCCAGACCGCTTGCACCTCACCCCTGTGGCCGGAGGGAAGGAGGCTTCCGGAAGAAACCAAGGCAGAGAGAGGGCTGTGACTCTTCCCCCACCTAAAATTTGGCTGCTCCCCATTTTTGTAATGGCCGGGAACGAGGTTGAACCAATGCAAGGGACGTTTTTGCCGGACAAAATTGTTTCACTGGGTTCAGTCTAAACCTACTTTGTAATATAAACATCTCCCCACGATATTTAAAGGGAACACTACGTGCTGCGTGGAACTGTGGGCAGCAGCCCCAGGGGGCGTCCAGCCAGCACGTTCTGGCCCCTCTCGTCCTGAGGTGCCGCACCTACGGACCAGCATGCACCCCGGCCCCTGGTCCTTAGCCTCAGGCCGTAGCCCCGGGCAGTCCCTTGTCCCCACCCACCCTGCCCAGGCCTCACCTCCCCGGAGACTGGCCCAGCCAGCCCCGTCCCCGACTCAGCCACTGAGAAGGGCCACCAGCACCCATGGGCGTCGACTTCCACACCCGAGCAGCGGGAGCACCCTAAAAGGCTCACCGTCACCTTCCGGGGGTGGGATCCTCTGCAGAGGCGGCCCAAGGGACCCCTGGTACCTTTTGGCGTTGATGTCGGACGAGTCGTACTTGGACAGCGGGGGCAGGGAGTCCACGGTCAGCGTGCCCTTGTAGCCTCGGACCATCACGGGCGTGAGCCAGGAGAAGGTGGCGAAGGACAGCAGCCCGGCGTCGTCCATGGGGTTGGGCGCCAGCCTAGGGCACAGGGGACACGCGGGGTTCCAGGGCGCGCCTCGGTCCCCAGCTCGGCGTCTGAACGGCGGCGGCGACCGCGGCCGAGCTCAGAACCTGAGACTCGCACCCAACCATCCTTTGACCTGCTGCTCGCAGAGCTGGTGAGCACGGTGGTCAAATTTGTAGGAGCTTTGCGAGTCGGTCGTCAAACAGGGACGATATTTAAAATTAGGTGACAAATTTAAATACGTTGTTTAAAGACAAAGGTGATAAGGACTTGAAATTCATCACTTTGATTATTTTTTAGGTAGTGTTAGTATCTAAACTCTTTAGATTATGTACGTTCCTCGTGTGTGTGTGTGTGTGTGTGTGTGTAGTCAACACCACGTACAACAGGGCGCTACTGAGCACCCCCTTAAATTCAGCTGTTGTCTCCCTCTCACCCAAGGGTGGGAGGGGGTCAAAAGTGGGGGGTACATCAACGAATAATGGTGGGCGGATGATGGATGGATGGATGGATAGATAGATGGATGGATGATGGATGAATGGTGGATGATGGATAGATGCTTAGATGTATGGATGGATAGATGGATGGTGGAAGGATGATGGGTGGATGATGGATCGATGGATGGATAGATGAATGATGGATGGATGATGGGTGGATGGGTGGATGGATGATGGGTGGATGATGGGTGGGTGGACGGAAAGATAAACGGACAAGCTCATGGAAGACAGACAGCGTGGGGAATGGGCAGTGCCCACTCTTCTGACGGACCAGAAACCACTCCTGCAAGTTCCGGCCAAGCCTTCCCTCTGCCCCTCCCCCCACCCCAGCTCACCTGGCGTAGGGCCTCACGGGGATCATCGTCCTCAGGCTGGGGTCGTATCTCTCCACGAAGGACCTGCGCTGGCCTCGCCGGTCCAGGTCGGAGATGAGGTAGGGGCCCTCCCCCACCATCATGGTGGCGGCGGGAGCCCCAGGCGCTCAGCCGAGGGGCTTGCGCTCTGCAGCAGAGGGACAAGAGGTTTCGCTGAGGGACGCGGGCCCCCTCGCGAGGCCACCCCGCAGGACCAGGTGCACGCGGACGGGCTCGCCTGGCCCCACTGCCGTGGCCGCTGCCCCCGAGGAAAACCCACGGTCCGGGGGCAGGACACTGCGGAGGGCCCGCCCCGCCCACACGCCCGCCACCCCGTCCACCGGTCCCCTAAACCCAGAGGCCAGAGAGCCGCCCCTGAGGCTCGTCCCCGTCCGGACCTTGCCTGGGGTGTCCTGCAGCCAGAGGCCTCCTCGTCAGGGGCAGTGACATTCCTCTGGAAGTTAGCGCGGCTACAAGCGTCACACAAACCAACCCCCGCCGTTTCAGAAAAGCGAAACCTTTTCCCAAGAAGTGGCCTTCAAGGGTGTGACTCATGTCCCGCTGGGGGCTGGACGCGACACTGCCCAGCCGCTCCGCTCGGGGGTGCGTCTGCACCCGCCTGTCGTCACGTCCCCGCTGCCCAGCGGCCCGTCCGTGTGAGGTTCCCCTCCTGTCCAGCCAAGCGTCCCCAGGCCCTGTGATTCTGTCCTTCTGGGGGGCTGGCCCTCCTTGTCCCTGGAGGACGCTCACCTATGACCTCTGTGACGCCCCCGTTCTCTAAGGAGGGTCCAGACTCCAAGATGCCCAACACAGGAGACAGGCGACCCTGGCCTCCTCCGAGGACGCAGAGGGCCCGGGAGGTCGGTGGGGGGGTGATCCGCTGGAGCACGCCCCGGGGAGCCTCAGTGGCCCCGGCGGCTCGGACGCCCAGCGGCAGGAAGGGCACTGAGCTACATGTGTCTCTCCCAGGGAGTGAGGCTTTTAAACCAGGACGTCTGCTTCGGCCGACGTCTCTGTCCTCACTGTCACCCGGCCTCTGCCGGGGGCGGGTGCTGCCCGGAGTGAGGTCTGCCTACCGGCCGCCGCCGTGGGGCGGGGCGGGGGCTGCTGCAGCTGGGAGGAGGGTGGCCCCGGTCAGGCCAGGACCCCGGCCCCGTGACTCTGTCCCACCCAGAGCATTCGGGGGCTGGCGGGGGTGGGAACAGCTTCCCCCCTCCCAACCCCCGTTCATCCATCTGCTGGCTGGAGGGGTGGCCTAACCCGCCGTAAACAGAGGGACAGGGTCTGGGTTCAGAGCGGAGGTTACAGGCTGGCCCATTCTGGACCACACTCAACGGGCAGGTCCGTTTTCTCTGGGCTGCACAGTTGTGTGTGTGTTTGTTTTTAATTCTCACCTGAGGACATGCTCACTGGTTTTTAGAGAGAGGGGGAAGGAGAGAAAGAGGAGCATTGATCTGGGGGAGAAACATCGATCAGTTGCCTCGAGAAGGCGCCCCCACCAGGGATCGGACCCACAACCCAGGCGTGTGCCCTGACCGGGGATCGAACCCACGACCTTTGGGTTACAGGGCGACACCCAGCCCACTGAGCCAGGGCATGCTCGGGGCTTTCGGTTGTTTGCACTTGAGCGAGGAGGTGTCACGACGACAATCAGGGGCCCGGGGCTGTCCCCAGCAGTCGGGAGCGCTGTGCGCCCTGCGGCTGCCGTCCGCTCGAGCCGCGCAGAGTCTGCCCCTCGCAGGCGGGCACACAGGCCGCAGTTTGCCACAGTCCCCGCCCTGCCTTCGTGTCCCCCGACGCCGGGGCTCTGCGGGACCTGCCCTCTGGCACCGCCTCTGCGCCGCGGTCTCCCGTGCAGCAGACCCGTTCTCCTCTTCCCTTGCCCCTCTCCAAGGAGGGGGACGAGAGATGCCCAGAGGGCGTCTCGAGAAGAAACACTCTCCACTTCGCTCGACTGTGTTCTATTTTTGCCTCTCTAACCCAGAAAAGAGCGAGGAGCGGTATCTCGTTGGAGAGCCGGAGTCTGAAGGACTCCACAGGACTCTGCTGCACCGGCCACGTGATTTCAGGTGCACTCCTCGTCACAAAACCTCCTGCTCCTTTCCTAGTAAGGCCGTCCTTCCCTTAGCGCCACCCCGCCCAACATCTGGCGGTCCCACGCCCTGAGAGCCCCCAGCTCTCAGCCCTTCCCTCCAGGCCCTGTGACCAGCCTCCGGCCCCGAGGAGAAGCCACGGGAAGTGTTCCTCGGCCCCTGTCCCTCACCTCCCCGGCCTGTCCCCCCGGCCATCCGCAGCAGCCCTGTGGGCGGCCAGACCGGGGGAAGGACCGGTGAGTGCCTGCAGCTGGTGTCAGAGAGGGCGCTGGGCAGCGGGTGCGGGGGAGAGGGTGCAGAGCAGGGGGCGGGGTGGGGGGCGGGGCTTGGCTAGAGCACTCATCCCCAGAGGCCCCAGACGGTGACCGGTGACCGGTGACTGGCGGTGGTACCTCCAGATGAGGCCACCCATTCAGTTAGCAAGGTTCAGGCAAGACAAGGAAGAAAAATGAGGACCCCCATTTCAGACCTGTGCGAGCCACACCGTAGTGGACCCTGGAGTCAAGGCTTTTAAAAATAAATCCTGTGATTAAATTGTGTGTGCGTGTGTGTGTGTGAGAGAGAGAGAGAGAGAGAGAAAGGGAACTTCATTTGGTCAATGTAGGCCTTCATGGATCAGATTTGGAAAGCCTGTGGTTGATGTTGCTACTTTTTCTTTTCTGGAGGTGCCCCCCACCCCGCCCCGTGTGCCAGGGGGCCCCCGGCCTCTGCTTCCTCCCCCGCGGCCGTGCCGGAGTGGGTCACCCAGCACAGCCGGCCCCGGGGGTGAGTGACGAGGCCCCGGACTGCCCGAGGCTGGTGGCCGCAGAGAGGAGCTTACCTGGGTGGGAGCACTCGTGCCCCAGGGAGAGGGAGAGGGAGAGGAGTTGTGGGTCAGCAGGCGGGCGCGGGGCTCTGAGGGTGCTGGCTGGGCCCCCTGTCCGCGGCCTCAGGTCCGGCTGCTCGCCCCACCCGCCTGGGGGCCTCCTGCCCAACCGCCCGGGTCAACTGCCGCTCCCCCCGCCCAGCGCCTGCGGAGGGAACTCTGGGGGACCAACATTCCTTCTGCCCTCACACCCTCCCCGGAGGGCGCTGCCCCTCCCGGCAGGGCTCACGCACCGTCGTCACCTCTTCCCCAGCCTGTCACAGCCCAGCCCCGCGCAGAGGACGGGAAACCCTCCCCTGGTCCCCGTTCTGCCCAGCGAGGAGACCCGGAGACAGAGGGCTTCCGGGGACGGGCCCAGGGCCAAGCCGGGGCGGCAGCCCAGGGTCCTGCTCCCAGAAGGCGCGGGTTCCCCGCTCTGTGTCCCTGCGAAGGGGACAGTTGTGCCGCCAGGGTGGGAGGGGAAGACATCTTTGAGACAGACCCGTCCGGTCGTTCCAGTGCACTGACCCAGACGTGGGCAGCCGTGGGGGCCTGCACCGGTGCCCGCAGCGGGCTCTCGACTGTGAGACGGTCCCGTGTGTCTCGGGGCCGGGCCCTCGGACGAGAGACGGTCCCAAGTGTCTGATTTTGGGCTTCCCTGACCCTGGAGCTCAGGCCTTCCCCGACGTCGAGAGCCCCGTGAGGTGCCTGGCTGCTTCGCTCAGACCGCGGGCCGAGCCCGGAGGGGCGGCGGAGCCCACGGTGGCCGGCGAGTGGCTGGAAGGGAGTGGCGTGTTGCAGATTCAGATGTGACAAGTCCGGACATGTCCTCAAGATTATCCAGACGCCTTAGAAGACCGTTCTCACCCAGCTCCCGAGAATCTGGGGCAGATTTTGAAGCTGTGGTGTTTTAAACCTGCCCAAGCCCTCTCTCTGCCCGCGGTCTGGCCGCCCCCTCCCCCTGCTGGCTGCTCTGGGGACGACACTCACAGAGGAGGGAGGCGGTGGCTGGCCCGAGAGGGGACTGCTCTTCCTGCTCAAAGGGGAGGTAGGGACCGGGGAGGCCTGAGGCCTGGGGACGGCCACCGGCCAGGGCCAGCTGTGGGGAGACAGCCCCTGCGGGGACGGTGCCTGGGTCTCTCTGTCTGTCACTCTCGGGTGCTCCCTCCCGGAGTAGCCGCCCTAGCGTGTAAAATGAAAGACCAAGGCTTGCCGAGGAAACCAGTTACACTAAAACAGGGTCACCGGAATATGCATTAAAGCCCACAATCGAATGTGGTAACCCGTGCTCCCCTGTCGCCGCATGAACAACATGGTGAGCGGTACGTGGTCGTGAGACTTGGTAACAGCCCCCGCCCCGCAGCAGTGAGGCGCAGAGGCCACCGTCGGGAGGTCCCAGTCGGCGGGAACGCGATCTGGGAGCGTCCGCGGTTTCGCTCGGGGACCAGGTCGCAGCACTGCTCCAGCTGGCGTCGTCTGCTGCCTCGTTGGTGACCGACGGCTGGGCAGGCTACGTCTCCGTTAGTAAAACCAAAGGCCTCGTTTCGTCCCGGCCACGCGCACGTGGCTGCCCTGCGCCAGGCCCGGGAGTCCGCGGGCCAGCCCCCCGGCCGGCGCGTCCGGGAGGGAGGCCCGTGTCTGGAGCTGCTTCCCACTCCCACGCAGCGGGTTCCCGAGTCGTTGAACGAGACAGGGGCGGACTGGGGGACACTTAGGGTAACGGGGCGAAATCTTACAGTCTTCACAGCCGGCGCCAGAGCGTAGCGGAGGGTGAAACGGGGCGGGGGGGGAGTTAGAGAGTGGCCTCGGTGTGTCTCTTGGGGTGCACAACGAGGCCCCCGGGACTCGTCGGCAGGAAGAGGCGCCCCTCATGAGAACGGAGCTGCCCTCTGCGACTCGGGTCCAGGAGTGGGGAGGTGGGGGCCGGGACGACCCCGGGGGGTAACGGCAGGGAAGAGACCGGACCCCAAGGGCGGAGATGCAGAGACCCCTTGGGAAAATGGGTGCTGAGTTGTCAACTGGAAGTTGCTGGATTACCGGGGTAGACACCCCTCCTTTGGTCCAAAACTTCCCCGAGGTCGTTGATGTATAAAAAAACAATGATGATAATAAGGAAGCTCTCTTTCTAGGTCAACGTGAAGGGGAAGTCGTGGGTGTTGTGGCTTAGTGAGACGCTCAGGGCGCCTGAACCAGGACAGGCTATACAAATAAAAGTGCCCCCCAAACACAGAAACTCGGGGGATGGCGTGAGAATGGGGTTTGAACCCTTCCCCTCTAGATCGAGTGGGACAGGGCCATCCGGGCTCACCTGGGGTTCTCAGAGCGGGGGCCCCAGGTCAGCTGCACCAGCAACAACTGGGCAGTCGTGAGAAAGGCAAATTCTTAAGCCCTACCAGGGACCTCCTGAGTGGGAAAGCCTGGGGGTGGGGCCATTCTGATGCTCCGCCCACTGAGGGCCCCTCCCCACAGTGTCCTGTCCATGGCTGCACCCAGAATCACACCCTCTGTGGAAGCCACCCAGTCCAGTTTCCCGCCTGTGCAGACTCCTGACGCCACTGGGCCTCATGGGACCACTCCTGGAGCCCGGTGGGGCACGAGTCCTGCCCCACCCCCACCCAGGGGAGGGCTTCCAGAGCCCGCTGAGGCCCCTCCCGCAGCCCCTTCCTGGGAGCCACATCCAGAAGACGTCTTCGGGAGAGCCAAGACGGACTCTGAGCCCTTCCTTCCCGGTTCCTCGCACAGCAGGTGTTCTGGCCCCCTACTGGTTGTCCTCGGAAGAGCCTGCGTTTGCCAGGGTTCTCTCAAAGGGTGTCCGGAGTGGGGACAGAGGGCGGGGGGTAGGGGGGAGTGTCACCCATGGTCGCTGTGGGCCAGGGTCCTGGAGCTTGTGCTGAAGGTGTTGACCACGTGGAGGGCCCACCCCTGGGACGGGGGATGGGGGTGGCTCAGAACCCCGGCACCCTCCCCACCGGGTGCAAGCGGGGAAAAGCAAGCGCGAACCATTACATTAAACTAAGGAGGTAGAACCAAGGTCCACATTCTCTCATTACACTTATTTCTGTATTATTTTTTAGATTGTATTACAAAATAGTCCTGGTGCCCCCAAATATGTAAAGAATTATTTAAAGGAAACAAACTCAAATCTCATCGCTCAGATTGAGATGAAATATTGCCAATGCTGTGAAGTGTTTTTATTTGTAAAAAAGATTTTATTAATTTATCTTTAGAGAGGTAGGAAAGGAGGGAGAAGGAGAGGGAGAGATACACATCGATGTGTGAGAGATACAGTGACTGGTTGCCTCTCACATGACCTGAATCCAGGACCTGGCCTGCAGCCCAGGCCTGTGCCCTGACTGGGAATCGAACCACCGACCCTTTGGTTTGAAGGCTGGCGCTCAGTCCACGGAGCCACATCAGCCAGGGCAAAAAAAAAATAATGCTTTTTTGTTTTGTTTCTTCCTGCTGGAAGCGGAGGTTCTCGAGTTCTGTGGCACTTCAGACCCAGCTACGGCTCCCCAAATTCAGCCTCCACCCCAAACCAGGGAGACGAGACCCTCTGGGACGGACTCGAGTACTTTTTAAAATGCGTGTGACTCCAGTGTGCAGCCAGGGCTGGGGAGAGGCTGCTGCGAGGGGAGGCGGGGCGAGGGGCGGGGCGACCTGAGGAGAGAATGGAAATGGGGCCTGTTTCCAGGCCTCTAACTCAGGGGTCAGCCCTCTCCCTGGCGGATGGCAGCGGGTCTGGATTTCTGGGAAGAGCCTGCCATCTGCTGGCCACCACAAGGAACACACGTCTGCCGAGCGTTTTCTCAGGGCAGCTTGTGGAGGGGCCTGGCCAGGTGGGTAGGGTCACCTCCAACCTGCAGACCCTGCGGGGCTGGGTTGAGATGGGGGCAGGAGGAGCCCCCGGGCACCCTTCAGGACCCAAGAAGGAAAAGCAAGAACTGAGGGGAAGGGGGTCCATCCGGGCAAAGGGCCTTTTAAGAGAGAGAAGGCATTCGCCCAGGAAACGCCCTGGGAAGAGACACAGGTGCTGCCGAGGAAGCCCAGGTGGGAACACGTGGGGCGCACCTGTCGCTTAGCAGGAGGGCTCCCTCCGCTTGTGGTCTGCTGCCCGAGCTCGTTCCCACGGGGACTGGTTTGCGGTTCTCCGCCTGGAGCTCTTTCCCGCCCCGATCCCTCTCACCTGGGCAAATGCGCATTTTTCAGGTCTCAGTGAACCACAACCTCCCCTCCACCAGGAAGCCTGCCCAGACTGTCCTCCCCTCCTCTCCTGTCTCTTGGTTCTGTCTATCTGTCCACTGTGTACCCAAGAGGGCACATTCCGTGAGGGTGGGGCCATCCCCGCACCAACCCCCTGCCCTGCCCTGCCCTGCCCCCAGTGCAAGAAACAGCGTAGGAAATACTGGTTTACTGGTTTTTCTCCTGGCAAAACCAGACCCTGTAATCTGAAAACAAATGAAACAAAAATACTTTGAAACTTGTTTCCCCACAACAATGAGGTCTCCCTCATTGACAAGCAAATTGAAAATAATTACCTTTTTAATTATCTATTTATAACCACCGTGGGAGGGGCGGCAAATGGTCTTATTTACGGTTGTCATATGTTACCAATGAGCTCTTCACTCCACCCATCTGGGTGGGACAGGCAGCTCCTGCTTGGGGCCCGCCCGGCCTCCAGACCCACTCCTCCCTCTGTTGCAGGCGCGCCCCGAGGCTGTTTTGCAGAAACCAGCCCTTCCGTTCTCGGTTTCTGTGATCCAGGGCAGCTGAGGCCAGCCCCGGGCCCAGGTGTGGGCAAGTGACACTGTATGGCAACAGCCCAGCACGTGATTGGTTCAAGGATGAGCACGTGACCAGAAGAGATTTAGCCCCGGAGCTTCTGCTGGAATTATGGGAGATTCCAGATCCCAGGATGCTGGGCTGGTGGGATGCAAGCCTAGGGCTGCCGGCAGCCATTCTGCCACCATGAGGGGGGCGGGGCGGTGGCCAGAAAGTGAAGCCAAACAAAGGAAAACAGAGTGAGAGAGGGAGAGAGGCAGTGTCGGCAAGTCAGGCATCCTTGTCCTGGGCCTTTCCGATACCTGAGCCAACCAAGTTCCCTTTCCCACAAGTCAGTTTCAGGGAGTTCCTGCTCCTGGAACCTGAAGGAACGTTAGCTCGAGTAGAAAGCAGGACAGAGAAGGAGACTTCTCTTTACAGAGTTAACACATCATTTGCAACACTCTTCACACAGATCAGAAAAGTATAATCAGCTTTTACATTACGATGACATTACTCAACACATCGGTCAAAAAGAGACACAACATCATCTGACCCCATGGTCTCCAAGGATGCTGGGGTCCTTAGCATCCCCAAACCGCCCTCGGTCTCCTCGTGTGTCCCCTCCCCAGCACCCCTCGGCCCCCATCAGCCCGGCTTTCGGCAGGAGTCTCTGCTGCCCCTGCCCCTGAAGGTCACAGACTGCGCGGGGCTCACAGCGGCACACCCGGCGAACCGGGGTGATGCGCTCGGCCCCCGGCCCCCGCGTCTCCCGAGCTCTGCAACCGGGCCATCGCCAGGAGGGTTGCGAACATGGACCCGGGCTGCCTCTGCAGGACCTCGGGCCTGTCGAACTCCACAACCTGGAGGGTGGAGAGAGGGAGGGACAGCGACCCCCGCTGGGCTCAGCCTGGAAGGACCGAAGGCCTCCGGGGCGCTGGCGTGCACGCCAGCCAGTCCTCCCCCTGCCCGGGCTGCCGCCCTCACCTTCCCGTTGTCCATGACCAGGATGCGGTCGCAGTAGAGGACGGTGGTGATGCGGTGGGCGATGACCAGCACCGTGCAGCCCCGGAAGGCTTCGCGGATCGTGTGTTGGACCAGAGCATCGGTCTCCAGGTCGATGGAGGCTGTGGCTTCGTCGATGAGGAGGATCTGGCGGACACAGACGGGGGGAGAGGGGGTGAAGGTGAAGGCGGCCTTGGGCCCCGAACCTGGGTCTGGCCCCGGGTCGGCCCCTATTCCGCCGAGACCCTGAGCTGCACACTGAGAGCTTGAGACTGCAGTCCAAACCCGCTGTGAGCTCTTGTCGCTGGCGGCGTGTTGAAGACACTGTGAGGTCGCCACCAAGGGCTAACTTTTCTAGTTAAAATCTTTCCCCAAATTTACCGATTAGAGAGAGATGCATTGATCTGTTGTTCCCCGAGTCCCGCACTCATGGGTTGATCCCCCTGTCTGTGCCCCGGCCGGGGCTGGGACCCTCAACCTTGGCGTGTTGGAATGCTGCTCTGACCGACCGAGGGCCCGGCCACGGTGAGAGGGAAACTCTTGAAAATGTCCCAGGGGCCCTTCTGCTTTCATGAACCGCCTTCCTGTTCGCCGCATGAACGCAGATTGACGTCCCTCACGGGGGGGGGGGGGCAGGCACATGGCACGGGGGGGGGGGCAGGGAGGGGCGCCTCGTGGGCCGGCAGAGCCCCTCCCCCACCCCCAGACCACCGTGCTTTCTACTGCGGCGTTTTGGAACTTGTTTCATGAACCACCTGCGTTAGGGAGCTGTCACGGGCACGGGTGTGACTTCACGAATGTCACTGTTCACGACGAAACCCTTCGTAAAAAGAGGGCGTCGTGAGTGAGTCAGAGGGCACCCAGACACGACGAGATCGAGAGTGCGTGCACACCTGTGTGTGTGTGTGGGCGCGTGTGGGCGTGCTGTGCGTCGCTCGTGAGAGAAAGCTAGCCGCTCACGAGCCCAGGGGGTCTACCTGTGTTAACTGGTGAAATTATTTTGAAAACTCCAAGAAACACTGTCAGATGAAATTTCCCCAACCTCTATAGCTTTGCCCCAGAACGGCAGAGCTGTCCGTCTGGGTCCTAATAAGGACAAGGGAGCATCCTGCCCCCACGTTTTAGGAGAACGTGCAGCGAGCCACTTTTACATCAGTCAGCTCCTGACCTCTGAGCCCCTTGGGTGCGGGACCTCGGGGCTGAGGACGCAGGTGCGCCCCCTGCCGTGCGCGGGCGGTCCTGCGGCCGCGGAGGGAGACGGCCGCGGAGCTGCCCTGGCCTCACCTTGGAGTTGCAGAGCAGGGCGCGGGCGATGCAGAGCAGCTGCCTCTCCCCGACGGAGAAGTTTCTGCCGTTTTCCAAGACTTCGGCCTGCAGCTTCTGGGGCAGCTTCGAGATCTGTCACGCCGGGGCGGACGACAGGAGGTCAGGCGGGCCTGTGCGCGCTGCGGAGGAGACCTACGCTGACCCCCGTCTGCCCCTCCCCTCCTCCGCGCTCTCTGCACTCCTCCGCGGGGGTCTCCTTCCTTGCCTGCGCCCGCCCGTCGGTGTCCGGTCTCAGCTCCAGTCCTTGAAGGGGCCCTGCCTGGCCGGCCCAGGCACTAGGGCTGCTCCCCCACCCCCATGAAAGTGCTGGTGGTCTCCCTGCGCCCCTTCCAGCCCCGGCCACCATCGGAAAGGATCTCTGTGGTCGCAGGCTGGTTGCCTGGTTGCGTCCCACCCAATGCTGGAGGATAAAGACCCTACCTGCCTCCCCTCTGCTGCGTGCCCGAGCCCAGCATGTGCCTGGCGCACTGTCCGTGCCTGGGCGCCAGCAGCCCATCCCAAGGCATCTCGATCTCGGGTCACGCCAGCTGCACGAGACGGGCCCACCCACGGCCCAGCGCGGCCCCCTCGGGAGCCCCGTGCGGGAGGCCCCCTGCAGGAGGCGCAGGCTCGGACCCCATCGGGCTACTGACCGTCTTGCTCAGGGAGGTCTTCTCCAGAGCGCCCCAGATCTGCTCGTCCGTGTAGTTGTTGAAGGGGTCCAGGTTCAACCTGCCCGGCAGAGGAAGACCAGTGTCCGGTGACCGTCTCGGCCACCGAGCGGTCTGTCCTGGACACTTCGGGTGACCAAGGACGCTAAGAACGGACACTGGGCGTACAGAAGCCCACGGGACTGCCATGCGCAGGCATGTCTCGTGCCGGTCAGTACCCGCTCCTTCTGCAGGCAGCACCCCGAGTTTGGTTTGGGAGCCCCCTGACTCCCAACCCCCAAGCCCAGGCGGTCCAGGTGGGGCTCCGTCACCAACCCTAGGGGTGGACGGAGCAAGTGACTCGGGTACAAGCAGACCATATGCGACCAGCCCCCGGCCAGAGCGGTCAGTCAGGGGTGGTGGGTCACCATGCAGAGCGCGTCTCGGGACTTGTAAGGCATTCACTGGAAAGGAACTCTCCGAGTGAGCAGGAGAGGCTGCGACCCCCCTGCTCCTGGAGGGGCACACAGAGCCCCCCAGGGCCCTCCCTGGGGCCTGAGATGGAGCCAGAGCAGGGCTGGGCGGACCCTGGCCCTGGAATCAGCCTGGGCCTTCCCCGGGTCATGAGGCAAAAGAGGACTTTTTAGCTTAAGCCGTGTGTGTGTGTGTGTGTGTGTGTGTGTGTGTGTGAGAGAGAGACAAAATGTGCATAACATGCTCATCACTGTGACCATTTCTAACTGTGCAACCAGTGGCATCCAGTGCGTTCACAATGTCCTGTAACCATCCGCTAAAACTCATCAGCCGCAACAAAATTTCTTCCGTCAACCCAACCCTCTCTCCCCGCCCCAGCCCCTGCGAGCACCGAGCATCCATCCTACTTTATGTCTCTGTGAATTTGCCTGTTCCGGGCACTCGTTTAAGTGGAAACACATAGTATTTGTCCTCTCTGCCTGGCTTACTCCACGAAGCACAATGCTCCCAAGACCCAGCCACGCTGTAGCTTATATAGCTTGGTATACATATAGATGCATAGAGCAAATACGATACTTTGTTCATACCCCTGACCGGGCAGTTAGCTCCCGGTATTATAATGTGTCAGGTCGTAGGTCTCTGCAACACCCGCATCCCCGGACTGCTCTGTGACCCTGGGGGTGGGGGCAGGGATCACCCATGTCCCCAGTCCCTAGCCAATGTCTGGACCTGGCAAAGTCTCAGAAAAGACAAGCCGATGGATGAATGAATGAATGAATGAATGAATGAATCAATCAATCAATCAATAGATTCTCTGGCCTCTGAGAATGCCCCTGAACTAGCCCTGAACCACGAGGCCTCAGGCTTCACGTTCAGCGCCTCAGCCCTCACGTTCAGCGCCTCAGCCCTCTCGGTCGCCAGCCCTTGGTGGTCCCACACAGCCAACATGCACGATGGTCAGGCGGGAGCTCTCGGTGGCTGAGGTGGGGTCCCTGAGCTGCCTTTGGGGGGCTACAGCCTGCGAGTGCCTCTTCTGCGTGTTCACGAAGCAGCCACCAGGGCCGCTTCTTACTCTCCCCACCCCTCTTAGAATGTGTGCCCCGGGGGGAAGGACCCCTTGCTAATGTCCAGTGGAGGCTGGACGGTGGAGAGACAAGACTAAACGGCCCTAGACAGGGAAGCGTGTGGTCGCCATGGCGCACGTGCGGAACAGTGAACGGAAATCGGCCGTGAAAACTGGGCCTTGCTCTGGTTTGGATGTGGCGGGTCCCCAAGAGGCCTTGTGTTTACCGGGGTCTCCTTCGACCCTCAAGGACAAGTCGGTGCTGGGAGGGAGGGGCCTGCCTGGCAGCCAAGCCCCGACACCCGGTCCCCGCCCCCCACTGCCCTCTGGCCCAGCCCCCACCTGACGGTTCCCGAGAACAGGACGGGATCTTGAGGGATGACGGACAGCTTGGACCGCAGGGCCTCCAGGCTGATGCTGCTGATGTCCACGCCGTCGATGAGGATCCGGCCCGCGGCAGGCTCCACCAGCCGGAAGAGCGCCACCCCCAGGGAGGACTTCCCTGTCGGGCGAGAGACGGGCGGCGCGTCTGTGTCCCGAGTCTGCACGGGGACCCCGGCTTGCACGCCGGACCCGCTCCCCGCCGCGGCCCCCTCTCTTGGTCAGCAGGGGCGCAGACAGGGCACAAGAGGGCTGGAATCTCCGCTGCAGGGGGCGTCCAACCGGCAGCTTCCTTAGAGCCGAGAGCGGGAGCAGGGGGGGCAGGGGGGCGGGGCCACCGCGGAGCCAGTGTATCCGATCCAGCCACGTGTGTGTTTTGTCTCACACACAGTGTTACTGTTACTTTAAAAAATTCTCTGCCAACATTTCAAACAGCCCAAGGTCCTATACATAACATTCAGACCGCACGCTTCTAGCCCCGCGTCCCCGGGGCGACCGGCAGCTGGAGCTGCTTTCCCGGGAAAGCCCGGGTGCTCCAGCTCAGCGCGCGGCCCGCCCCACCCCCACCCCACGCATCCACGTCACTTGCCAGGCCCCGCACACTTGAGCCGTCAGCCTCTGCTCGGAAAGACAAGGTCAATGCTTGTTCTTGTTCACCTTGGCGTTCCTGTCGCCGCGCCCACTGATGCTCAGTGAACGCCTACTGAGCGAACACGGTCCTCTGGCCCAGGGTCCACTGAGAGCCTCAGTTCAGAGTCAGTCCTCCGGGCCCATCCCCCGCGAGTGCCCTACAGAGTCTAGCCGCGCCGTGAGCCCTGCAGGGGCCTGAGGAGGAGCAGCCCCGTGAAGGCCGTGCTCAACCCTGGGGGGCTTCCTGGAGGGGGCAGCTCCAAAGTGCACAAAGGTAAGGTGAGAACCAAGTCTGAGCGAAGTCTCTGAACAAGTAAAGCTCAAGAGGGAGTGACCTTGGGCCGGATCTCCCAAACGTGCGCGGAGGGAAGGGAGGAGAAAGGACAGGGGAGGAGGAGACTGGTGCAGGTCCAGGAAGGGAGGGCGGGGTGGGGGGGAGGAAAAGTGGACCGAGATTCCACTGCTCGGCCTGCTTGCCCCCTGCTTGAAGCGCTCCACCCCTGCACCCTGGTCTTCCTGTCTCGGCTCCAATGCGGACCTCGGGGCCCAGGGCACCGTGGCTTCAGGACCCCCAACCTGTCACCGGTTGGACCCCACCCCTGCCGTTTCCTCCGCGCGCTCACCACACCCGTCAGTATCTCGCTTATTCCCCCGTCCGACCACTCGCGCTCAACACCCGTCTCCTCCGCTGCGATCCCGCGACAGCAGGGGCTGGGGGCTCTGTCCACCAGCGTGCGGGACAGGGCCCAGCACAGGGCGAGGGTCAGCAAACGTCTGCGGGGTCCCCGAGCAAACCCATGCCCCCAGGTCGGCCCAGCACCCCGAGACCGAAGTTGAGGGCGGGGCGCGCAGGACCCTCTCAGCTCACCGGAGCCCGTCCTGCCCACGATGCCCACCACCTCCTGGCTGCGGATCCTCAGGTTGATGCCTTTGAGGACGATGGGCGTGTTGTCCCGGTACCTCATCTGATAGTCCTGGAAGGTGATCTCCCCACGCTGCGGCCACCCGTGGGGACAGCTCGCGCCTTCCACGTGTGAAGGAGCCTCGGGGACACACATCTGGTTTGCGAAGAGAGAAACAGAAATCGGCAGTTACCACCCCCCTCCGCCCACCCGCTGCCGACCCGCCGGCGCCAGCCGTGGGGGGGCGTGTGAGTCACACCAGGCCGCCCTGCGTCGGGGTCCAGCCCCCGGCCGGGTGAGCGCACAGACACCCCGAGGGGGCTTCTCGGCCCCCACCCCCCTGAAAGGCACATAGTTTTCCCCCCAAAGACGGAGAAGCCACACAGCCAGCCCCCTTGTTTCTGACAGAGAGAACTCTTTCTGATTTACTGTCTGAGGTCAGAGAGAAATGGGATCCAGGGTGAGAATGGTGACAAGGGCGGCAGGCAAGCACGCCCCCTGCAGGGCGAGCTGGGCAGCTCGGGGCCCGCGGCCGACGCGGCCCCGTGCGCGTTTTCCCCACGCGTCTCACAGACGGGCGAGGAAACGGAGGCTCAGACCGCGCGCAGGGCGAGCTTGAGGCCACACAGCCGGGGAGCGGACAGGCGAGGACTCCGGCCCAGGGCTGCCGGCTCCAAGGCCACAAGCCCCGTTGGGAGGAAAGGACGACGGAGGGGAAACCGGGGCAGAGCACGGCCCGCCCCGCTCAGCGCGGTGTCACCGCAGCCCGCCACAGGGGGGCGCGCGTCCCAGCTGTGCGGGTCACCGCTTCCGCGCCTGGGACCCGGCAGGGCCTGGCGTGGGAGGGGGGGGGGGGCTGCCGGCCCCCGGCCGTGCGACCTTCGGCCAGATGCTCAGCACGGCCAGCCTCGGCGTCCTTCTCTGGATAACGACCCGCATTCAGTCGACCTTCTACCAGGGGTTTCTGGCTCTGCTGACCGAGGCTTCCCTGCGGGCCAGGCTCCGCTAGGTGGTGCCTCGGACACCACGTTACTTAACCCGCGTACGAGTCCAATGACGCAGCGACTGGGGTCCCTCCCATTTCAGAGACGTGGGGGGGGGGGGCAGGGGCGGTGTCGGTTGCCCCCGGCTGCACAGCTGATTGGGGCGGCTCCAACGCCTGCGCGCTTTGCTCTGACATAGAGCAGCCGCAAGGACTATTGTTGTTGTTAAACTCGGGCAAACCTCTCGTCTCCAAAGAGGGGAGAACATTCCTTCTGCCCCCAGGCCCGCTGGCGCGTGAACGGATTGGTCGGTGTGAGCCAGTGAGCACGGGAGGGCTTCGGAGAGGAAGCTCTTCTGGGAAGAAGGGGGGGTGGGGGGGCCGAAGCGCCCCGAGCCCCGGCGGCCTCCTGGCAAAGGCTCGGGCCCCGGGGACCTGCGGAGACTGCGGAGGCCGAGCCCCGGGCCGGCGCCGGGGCCGGACCGTGCCCACCTTCATATACTGCAGCATCCTCTCCGCCGCCGTGAAGTGCGCCTCCGTCTCTGAGGCCACGGGGCTCATGGCCTGGAAGCTGTTCGCCAGCTGGAAGGAAGGGCACACGTCGGACTGTGTGGCTACGGGGGGTGTGCCCAGGCTCCCCACGCTCCCGAGACCTGGTCGCTGCCGTGCCCCCGGGAGCGGCGCAGTGCTCCCGAGTGCAGGCGCGGCCGTGGTGGGCAGTTCCGGGTGAGAGTCCCAGGGGCGCCTCCGTGCCCTAGGCCCCGGGGGGCGACCCTCCCCGAGTGGGGACAGGAGACAGGGGACGAGGCCCCCGTTCCCTCAGCCCTCGGGGACAACCCAGGGAGCGTCCTGTACGCTGCCCACGAGACCCCAGTCAGCCCCGTGCTGGGGACCTAGACCCAGACCTCGGCGACACGCCCTCGTGATGCAGTTCCTCCTCCCTGCCCCCCAAGGCCTGCCTTCCTTCCAGAAGCATCCCCTGAACAATCTGCCCGCACCCGCAGCCTTGCTGTCAGGCTCTGCCTTCAGGGGAGCCCAGGCGAGGGAGTCCTGGGGGCTCCCCAGAACTGGCGGCTCCACAGAGGAGGAAACGGAGGCCCAGAAAGAGGACGGGACCCTCACGGTGTCCCCGGGAGCCCGAGGCGGAGCTGGGAGGGGCCCTGCCTCCACGCTCCAGACCTGGGCAGACAGGCTGTGCAGAGCGCTGGCGACCCCTTCTTGGTATGGTGGGTTACCAAACCCCGAGGCCAGGCTCTGTGCCCCGAGAGCCGAGGACACAAGGCCCGCCAGCCAGGAGAATCCCGTCCAATGGGGAGAAAGGACAGGTCGACAGAGAATGGTGCTCTCCACCACACAGTCGACCTGGAGAGCCATTGGCACCCATGGGACAGCCACCCATGCAGGGGTCTCGGGGAGGGCTCCCGGAGGAGTTGGCACTAGAGGTGCACTCTTATGGAGAAGTGGGACTTAGCCGGTGGAAAGTGGGCGGGGCCAGGTGTTGCAAATAGGGGGCAAAGTGCTAAAGGTCATCAAATAGCAGGACGCACCCAGGCCCCGCAAACCCAGGGTCCCGACGGGGCGGGAGAGCCGTCCACATGTGAGAGAAGAGGGACCCCGTCATGGCGTGGCACTAGGCTGGGAGAGGAGGTCATGGGCGGGCTGGGGGACTGGCTTTCCTCCAGTCAGCAGATCAGACACGCTGCGTGCCTAACCAATAGCTGAGCCCTTCTTTCTCCTGCTGTGTTCAGGCAGGCAGCGGTCGGGGGTCCCAGGGGGCCTGGCTAGTTCAAACCAGTCACATGAACCCCACTGCTGGAGCGCTGATAAAGCCTGAGGAAGAGTCAGGTAGGAGCATTCTGCAAAACTGCTCCTTGCTCTTAAAAAGGGACCTGTGGACAAAGCCGTCTCCTCTCTAGCCTTGGACAGATGTTGGATGAGGATGTGTGGGTTGGGGCTGTGGCAGCTGTTTTGTGGACTTGAGTAGACAGGCTGTGGATGCTGGAACAGCACAGACACAAAACAACCACGGGTTCCTGCTAGGCCACAAAATTAACCAACAGAGCACAGCCCTGCCTCAGCCTTCCCGTCACATCAGGTAAGCACCTAGACTGCCACGGCCACTTTGATTTGACTCTGTGGTTTCGTTTGGCAACCAGAAGCTTCTCCAGTATTTACTGAGGAGCCTCTCAGGGCTGCAGAGCGACACGGCCTGGGGTTCCTGCTTCCCAACGAGGGACCGTGGCTTCCTGGAGCCACACACAGCATCAGCCGGGGACCCATGCGGGCAGAGGAGAGAGTGCATGTTGGGGTCACGGGGTCAGATTTGAGGGGCCTGGATGGCAGGGCAGAGCTCAGGAGGAGGCAGGGGGCCTCCGGAGGCCCTGAAACAGGCAGTAACATCAGAGCCACTGAAACTGGAGATCACTCTGGGGAGGGGGGGAAGGTGGGTGGGGAGGGTTTTGAGGGCAGGGGGCAGGCAGGCAGGGAGGTTCCCCAGGACACGCATGGGGCAGGACAAGCTGACCTCGAGGAGAAAGGGTGCACCTGGGGCTGCTATGTGGCCAGGCCAGGCCTGCAGGCGGAGCCCCTCCCTGGCTCCTGCCGGACGGAGCCAGGGGTTCCTGGGAGCAGGCGCCCTCTGGGACAGGAGAGCCCCTGCCCACGCTGCCCTGCACCGGCTCGGGAAGGCCTTTCCCCCGAACCTGGCCCTCCCCGCAGCCAGGGGCAGTTTCTGGCCTTAGTGACTCTTGGGTCCCCTGGGACACCACGTGGCACCTCGCCCTGCATCCTGGAAGGGTTGGCAGCAGCCGCGCTCCAGGGCGCGTGTGCCCGCGTGTCGGGGACCAGCACAGAGACCGGCAGGGCTGCCGCCAGCTGTGGGAACACGCGCTCTCACAGCCGTCTCCTCTCAGTGGGGCGTCAGGGAGGGCGCAGGTCTCCCGGGCGTTTCCCCCGCTCTGACCCGCACGCTCACACACACTCCTCCCCGGGCTGGGAGGCGTCACCTCCCTTTGGCAGGTGAGGAGTCCCGGGAGGAGGATAACACACTTCCCCAAAGTCACGCTGCGAAGGGGGGCCAAGCCCGGGGCGATGCCGCCCATCCGAAACCACACGGTCTGGACCACTTCGCTGTGCCCCTCAGCGCGTGATGAGAGCACCGTGAGCAGAGGCCAGCACACGCCCAGCCCAGCCCAGCGCCGGCCGAGGTCCGGCTCCCAGGAAATCCCACGGTGGACGCACCGCGTGGCCCGTGCGCCAGGGAAGGGCCTGCGCACACAGGCGTGGGTGGTGCCGGGTGCGTGCGTAGACGTGCGTTTGCTGCTCGGCCTCGCCCAGCAGCAGCACGGAGCCCTTAGCTCGCCCACAAGGAGGCGCCAGCACTGGGGCGCTCAGCTCCGAAGCCAGTTGGAGAGGAAGGTGCACGGCTCAGGGGACAGTTCATGAACTCTCCGGGCGGCGGGGGCCGGGGGCTGGGGGGACCGGGGCCCAGCAGCCTGGGCTCGCGGAGGTGGCTGCTGAGCCGGCCTCTGGCCTCGCAGCCCTTCAAGGATAGGCAGCCCTTCCGCAGGAATCTGTGGACGTGAACCTCGACCACCCAGTCGGCTCCGGCCCCCAGAGCCCCGGGAGGTAGGCAGACCACCAGTTCAGACCACCCCCCTCCAGGCAACCTGGCTTTAAAAGTAGATCCCAGACCCCACCCAGCCAGGACTTGACTCCGTACCGCGCTAGCCTGGGAGCACTGGGACCCCTCCCCGTGTTACCTCCCCCGGTGACTCAGGCAAGTTTGCAGGGCGTGACCGGTGACGGGAAAAGAACCGGCCAGGCAACCGAGGGGGTCGGCGTTCTCGCCCTGGCTCTGCTTCTAATGCTCCGTCTGTTCGAACGACTCCTTTCCCTCCCTGGGCCTCAGTTTCCCTGTCTGCACAATAGAGGGCTGGCTTCCCCTTCGATGCCAATATTCTAGATCCCATGCAATATCTTTAAATACAGACTTCCCAGTTCAGAAGTGACGAGGAAGCAGCAACAGATGCAGGAAGCCAAGGTCACGGCCCCTAAGATCACAATCCCGTGTCCGTGGGCCACAGGCTGAGCCCCCTCCCTCACCTGCAGGATGAAGCTGATAGCCATGGCCTTATAGGAATAGGAAGCAGAGGAAACACCGAAAGTCACGAACAAGGCCACGGCCAAGGATACCAGGTTGATCATGAGCTCCATCCTCAGTGCCAGCCATCGCGTGGCAGACAGAAACATCAGCAGGTAGTTACTCTGCACATCGATCAGCCTTTTAAACCTGAGGGAGAAAGGACCGCCTGAAAGCCATGTACTCATGTGTGTGTCTGCCCCAAGGTTTCCCAAGGGCGGACACTGGCTGTGCCCCCCTCACCCCCGGCCCCCACCCACACAACCTGACCTTTCTCCAGGGGACTCCTCCCTACCCCTTTCCCAGGCCATGGAGTCGACCTGACCCCAGATCTGGGAGTAGGGCTCTGGGCAACGTAGGCCTGTCCACACACGCTCGTCCCAGCCTTGGTGACAAGTTCAAGGGCGGGTAAGTGGCCCTCGGGGGGCCGAGGAGGGGGAGTAGTGAGTCCTGCGATCTGTGAGCGAGGGGAGGCCTGACTCCGCCCCACCCACCCCCGAGCGGGGCTGTGTGTGCCTGGACCGCCGAGTGTCCCCAGTGGGTGCTGAGCACCACCTGGGCTCCCGGGGCTGATGGCCTGAAGGTGTCGCCCCGAGGGCCCCTCAGCCCTGCTGCCTGCACCGCCCTCGAGGGCTCTCGCCATGACCCATCCGATATGCCACCAGGTGACTGGGCTCACGCCGTCTCCCGCGCCCACATCGCAGCAGGCTTCGGAGCTGGCTCAGACGCCGCCTCCTCCTGGGAGCCTTCCCTGATATCCCCTGCAGGCCGCCTCGTTTCCCCCCTGAACCCGTCTGGCGTTTCACCTGCCCGTCTCCTCGGCTGTCTGTCATAGTCAGCCCTGGGTTATTACGAAAATAGGCCCTAGTGGGTGTCTCCTGCCTTCCTCCTGAGTGTGAGCTGCCTGTCCGTCAGGGCAGACCGTGTGGGGTCCGTCTTTGCGAGTAGCTAAGCTCAGAGGGCACGATGAGCCCCCAGCAGCCACCACTGGGCTTTTGTTTGTTTGTTTCAGCCGACAGTTTAGAGGGCAAATCGGCGCGTGTGAATAGTAAAGGAAACTCTGTTCCTTAGAAAGCTCTCGTTCCTTCCTCTTCTAAGAAAATGAGACTCCTGTTTGGAAGGGAAAGGGGAGACCAGGAGAGCAGCGCGGCCCCAGAGAGACTTGTCCCTGCAACCCTAGAATAGAGGGGTCCACAGCCCCTCGGGGGTCAGGGTCACAGACATTTTCTGTGTCGCTGTGCGGGTCGTTCCTCTGCTGGTGGTCTGAACAGAGGCGGCGCTGGAGGCTCGAAGGAACACACGGAGCAAAACCAGCGTTTCCCTGATCCTCCTGCAGATGGCGCTGTTCCCGGGGCTCTCCGCACCCTGCGCCCGCCGCCCCCACCCCCGACGGCGGCGGCAGGACTCACTCGCGGATGAAGTCTTCGGTTTTCCCCTAGACGTGGATGGAGCTGAGGCCCTGCAGCGAGGTGAGGATGTGGGAGAACAAAGGGGAATGACTGTAGTTCTCCAGCCTCTTGAACACGTTGATGACCCTCTTGAACTTCCTGCGTCGAGAGGGACAGGGAGTGGCCGGGCCGTCCGCCGCGGGGACCACCCAGGTGTGGCTGGGCCCCCACCTCGAGCCCCAAGTCGCAAAGCCCATCGGTAAGCAAGAGAAAGCCCCTCACGTGTGGCCAATGAGGCACACCACTATGAGCACGACGCCGATCAGCAGGATAAACAGGGACAGCACGCTGGACACCGCCAGGTTGAAGACCACCACCAGGAGCAGCACCAGGAACTCTTCCACCACCATGGGCAGCAACTGGTCCAGCTGGTGCAAGTCCCCCACGAAGCAGTTCAGGAGCCGGCCTGTGGGCGTCGTGTCGAAGAAGCTCGCGGAGCTGCCGGCCACCTGCGGGGACCAGGGTGCCGGGTCCTGAGCAGAGCGGCAGGCCTCGCCGGGGGCGCCGGGCGGCTGGAGCCCCGCCTCCAGCAGGGGGCGCTTCGGCCCACCCGCTCTGACCTGCCTGCATCCGCCTGGTGCCGCCGCGCCCCCTTGCACCCATGTGACACTCTGGGAAAGGCAAAACCAGGGAGACAGCCCTGGGATTGGTGGCAGCCAGGGGTGGGGGGTGGGGAGGAAGGAGCAGGTGGGCCGGGGGGGCGGGCAGGAGGTGGCCTTAGGGCAGAGAAAACAGTCTGCACGATACTACGTGGCAGGTCCACGTGGGCATACCTTCCTCAAAACCCTAGAACGCACAGCGCGCAGAGTGAACCTTCATGGCAACAGTGGGCCTCCGTTAATAACAGCAATAATAGACCCACGCTGGCTCTCCCACTGTGACAGACGCCCCACTCGGCTGCAGAAGGTTAGTGCGGGGGGGGGGGGGGGCTGCTGAGGGGCGAGTGAGAACTCCCTGTCCCTTCCACTCAGTGTCTGAAACCAGAAACTGCTCAAAAAGTGAAATCTAGAAAGAAAGAAAAAGAGAAGCCCAGGTCGAGTCCAGCCTGCGGCCAGGCCCCTACCCGGTGTAAGAGCTGGTTGTGCAGAGCGGTGGACGCCTTCCGCGTGACCTTGGTGAACACCAGCGAGGAGCAGCACCCCACGCAGGTCAGGGCCAGGGTGCTGAGGCCGAACACCAGCTCGTAGAAGGACAGGTGAGGGTTGTCCAGGATGTCGCCGGGGTCCGCGGCGGTCACGTTGGCCTCCCGGCTACTGTTGGTCTTGGGGAGGGGACAGGGACGCGATGGGATAACGCCCGTGTTTGGTCTCCGCCCCGGGCCCTGACACAGAGGTCCTGCAGCCCTCGGCATTTCCCACACGGGGCGGGGCTATGAGTTTCTTTGGCTCCAGAACTTGGCCTCTGACTTTGGTTCCGGATGCAGGAGTGTCTGATCCCCCTGGGGTCTCCCGAGCAGCAAGAGAGACTTTGTATCTGATGGGCCGGCAGGGGGCTGGGGCCCTGCCTGGCCTCAGGGTGCAGCTGGTCCCCGGCAGACCAAGCCATCAGTCAAAACCTGGACCCTCAGCCCCACCTCAGCCTCCTGCCAGTGGGGGAGGGGCTGGAGATGCCACTAATTGCCTGTGTGACCCAGGCGCACGAGCATGGATTCCAGCGGCCTAAGGTGCGTCTGTAGGAGGACCCCAGCCCCCCTAAACCCCAGGCTAAAACGCCTGTCTCAGAAAGCTGAGGGGCGGCCCCGAGAATTTCCTGGTGGTTCCAGCCAGCACCTCGCGCGCCCCCCTGAGCTGCCTCTCCCCGCTCACCGAAAAGGGTCCGGGGTGTGTAGGCTCCAGCCCGCTGGCATTGACCGACACCTCCCCCACAGGTGTCCCTTCTCTGACTGCACAGAGCCCCGCCCACCGGCTCCCTCCTGCTCCCTCTGAAACCCGAACCAGAGTGGAGCTCAGCCCTTCTGCCCACTGCCAGGAGTGACCGGATAAAACCTGTTTTCCCTCCTTCGCTACGTTTCTCTTCCATGCGGCCTCCCAACCACGGGCACCCACCCAGGGCAGGAGTGTATCTGGAACAACGCAGGGCCAAAATCTGCCCCCCACGGAAAAAGTCACTGGGGTGGAACGAAGAGCAGACTTGGGGAGGTGCCTGCAGCCAGAAACCTCGTGGTTTTGTCCCCAAAAGTCTGCACGGGTGACGGCTCATTCGGGGAACACCGGTTAGAGCTGGGACGGAGCAGCTCTAGAGGCCCTCCCTGGGGGTTCCCCGAGTCATCTGGGCACTGGTGGCCCCGGGCAGCTCGTGGGGTCCCCAGCCTGTGCTCTGGTCATCGGAGAAGCCACTCGCTCCCACCGCGGCACTCACCCCTGAGCCCTGCTCCATCCAGTAGCTCAGCCACCAGAAGTTGAAGGTCATGAGGAAGATGAACGTCACCATGAGCAGGAAAACCAAGACGCAGACGATGTACCCTGCAGGGGGAGGGGCAGTGACACGGGCACCCCGAGACGGTGCACAGCAGCTGTGGACAAAGCCGCACGTCCGCCCCAGGCCCTTGGCTCTCCCCGACCCCTCCCATCCACCTCGGACACTGTGAAGGACCAGAAACAGCTGGGCTCTGAGGTCGGAAAGCCCTGGGTTCAAATCCTGACTCTGCTTCTTACAAGCAGTGTGAGCCCAGGCAAGGCACCAAATGCCAGTGACCCGCCACTTCCTCAGCTGGGAAATGGCGTCGGTAGTCACAGCAGCCTCCAGGGCCGCTGTGACAAGGACACAGGATGACCTGGGTCCCGGCCCGAGCCCCATGCCCGGCCCACAAGCAGCGTCCTGGAGAAGTCAGCTCCCCCTTATGCAGGAGCTGGGGCTCAATTCTCAAAATAGCAACACCAGCTCCCACTTCTGCGGTGAGAGCTCTTGTGTGTGACGTGCCAGAGGTGGCCCCCCACACGTGTGCCGCTTCTGAGTTAGGGGTTCCCTCCCGCCCCCCATCACTGAGTCTCCCAGAGCAGACCCAGCTGTCACAGAGTTCCCAAGTCAGGGGGGCGTGAAAAGTTGCTATCAGAATTGCTCTCAGAATCTCATAAATCACTCGAGGAATGCAGACCCGGGCCCCAGTTTGGGGGGTTCTAACAGGGTGCCTCGGTGCGCACACGGATTGGACAGCCCACCAGTCCCAGGACGCAGGGGTTCTGAAACTTCTCATCCCCACCCACCCGCCTTCAGAAGTGCAACCTAACGCCGTCGCAGTAAAAGCTGCACCCTGTCCCAGCATGCAACAGGGCTGACGGGCTACGTCCTGCTCCATCTCTTCACGCTGCTAAGAATTCAGCCCAACCGAGTATGTAGCCCTGCAGCTTGGAAAACGCCGAAATGCGGACGACTGCGTTAAATACCATGCTCCCTCAGATCTCGGATCGGGTGCTTTGGAATCGGGGCCTCGGGCCCAGAGAGGCCGCCCTTCCCGGGGTCAGCCCATGCCTGGAGCCGGCAAATGACCCTCGCGGGCCCATCCACAGCCCACACACCCCACGGTCTCATTTGTCACGCTCTCGCCCACCACGTCAGGGTTCCTCCTGCCCTGCACTGTGCACCCCAGGGCCAGCTACCTGACAACGAGGGGACACCCCGAGAGCCCGGAGCCCCCCGAAACCATTCCGGCCGTCCAGCCGACCCTAAGCTTGCTCAGTGTATCTGCCCTGCCTTGGCCCGCTGTTTCCCACGAAGACCCTGGGAAGGGCTCTGGGCCACGCCCTCCCTGCCCGGCCCCCGGCCTCCTGACCGGCGGAGGGGCCTCCCCGCGGGGCCCCAGGTGGCCTGGCACGCCGGCTGTTTCTAGGGACCCGTGAGCACGCACCTCTTCCTTCTCGACTGTCATTTCTCTGCGTGTCTGACCCCGCCCGCACAGAGCAAACCCCGGTCCATCATAACGCAAGGACGCCTGGAAAGCAGCTCCCAGCACGGACTGGGAGGGTGGGGCTGCCAGAGCTGAGGGTGGCCGGGACTGTGCGAGGACCACGACTCCTCTGTGCCGCTGGGCCACACGTGACCTCACACCTCCTGACCTGACCCGGCCCCGGGGGGCAGGGCTGGTCCCACAGAGCCCGGGGCTGGGCAGGGGGCAGCTGACAGACCGCACCTCCAGCTGCCTGGATGTAGTCGTGATAGACACGCCACGCCAGGGACCCTTCTTTTATCTCCTCCTTCGTGGTGAGCTGATTCTCCAGCCCTGGGGGTGGGGGAGAGAAGAAGGAACCGGTGTGGTCGCAGGCTCCGTCTCACCGCACGGGGGGCGGTGGGGGGGGGGCCCTGCAGACCCGCCTGCCCCGCCCCCCCCTTCCCAGTTCCCTCGCCTCCCAGCTGCTGTGCGCCACCCCACCTGACCCGAACTGGCCGGCTTTCCACGGAACACTCTGGACTCCAGAGTCTGGAAGGTGGGGTCCATCCCCAACTCTTCAGTGAACCCTGGAGGGCCTGGAGCCCCCCAGACAGCTAGATGGACTGAGAGGCAGGTGTGGAGAGTGGAGAAAGCAATGACCTTGGACCAGGACACTGGGTTCCAGCATTGTCCCCACAAGGCTGGGCAACCTCAAGCAGATCACTCAAACTCTCTGTCTGCATCTGAAAACTGGGAGGAAGGGGCCCTGCAGCAAGACGCTTCTCGGACAGCCCCCCAAAACCTCTGTCGCACCCACCCGGGCAGGTTTTGGGCCCGGAGCAGGGCCGGGAGGTGGGTGCCTGGAGACGCCAGCAGGGGGTGCTGACGACAGCCACCCGGGAAGCAGCACGTGGAGAACGGCTCTTATCGCTGCTAGATGCCCCGTGTCTTCCTACAAGATCGCCCCAATGTCTCCTGGGGAGAAGGGGCTCTTCCTGGAAGATTTGAATCTTGAGGGAAATTATACCAGCAAGGAAAATATTCGGGGTAGGTTTCCTTTCTCTTCTTTCTTTTAAAGATTGTATTTACTTATTTTTAGAGAGGAGAGGGAGGGCGAAAGAGAGGGAGAGAAACATCCAAGTGTGGTTGCCTCTCACGCGCCCCCTACTGGGGACCGGCCCACAACGCAGGCCTGCGCCCTGACTGCGGACCCTTTGGTTCCCAGGCCGGCACTCGGTCCACTGAGCCGCACCGGCCAGGCCCAGCGCCGGTTTTTCCGGATGGATTCCGCACCTGCGCCGGCTCCTGAGCCCCCGACCTTGCGGAGGCCCGGCGCTCCAACCCTACTCTCCATTCTGCGCTCTCCGCCCTATTCCAGTTCCTTTTCCGCCCCCCTCGGTTTCTGTCCCCCACAGCCGAGGCCACGCCGGGCGACAGGGGCCTGCGGGGGGGCCTGCGGGGGGCCGGGCCTCTCTGCACATGACCTCCTGTAACCTCCACGCTGCAGAGTCAGCCCTGTGACCTTCCCTGGTTGTGCCAAGGAGGGGTCGGAGAGGTGAGGCCGCTGGCCGAGGTCGCACAGCTTTGCAGGCGGCAGGTCCCCAACGCCGACCCGGAGCGTGTCTCCCTTTAAAACCCAGGTCTGCCTGTTCCGCTGCGCGGGCGGGCGGGCGCAGAAAGGGGCAACTGGGCCTTGAGCGTCCGGGCGGCGGGGGCGGGGCCCGGGGCCCTTCCGATTTAGTCCCTTTGTTTTCAATGTTTGCTTTCCACAAACGCGGGATGAATGGAAGTCCAGATGTGACGTTTTCTACGCAGGCCACTTGGGGCCAAAGCGACACCCCCCCCCCGCCGCGCCCCCCCCCCCCGCCCAAGCACTCACTTCCTGGACCCTCCGGCCTCCTGACCCGCACCCCCACCGCCCTCGACCCGTAGGGCCCTGCAGCCTGCGGTGTGCGTGGTGTCCCGGACCCCCGACCACAAGGGCGGTGGCCCAGCCTGGGGCCGGAGGAAATGCCAGGGCCTCCGGGGGGCCCGGCCAGACACAGGGAGGTTCGGGCCGGTCCCCAGCCTCCTTACCCGCATTGTCACTCTGAGGCTCTTCCTGGCAGAGGGCCTGGGCCTGACCTGGCCCCTGATGCTCTTTGGCCGTCTCTGCTGCATCCTGAAACACGTCCTGGGGGGAGGCAGGGCCGTGAGCGCGGGGGCGCTCCCGCCCACGGGGCGTGCGGCTGGGGGGGTGGGGGGGTGGCGAGTCACCTGCTTGTCTTCCCCGTGCATCTTCTGGATGAGGTGGGCGTACTGCCCCTTCTTCTCGACTAACTCCCTGTGAATCCCTTTCTCGGAGATTTTACCGCCTTCCAGCAAGATGATCTGGTCACAGAACTGTAAAAACTGAGGAGTCGGAAGGAATGAGGTTTCCAGGGAGTGGACAGAGATGTCCGACTTCACTATTCAGAAGGAAAACGTCGATTCGCCTCGTGATAAAGTATCGTGATGTTTCGTGACGCCGGACAGCCCCAGGTAGCGGCGGTGACTGGAGGTTCGGGGGACACTCCTAAAATGTCGGGGCGTGGGGGCACAGGTTGTAGACCGGTATGATGCCTTTGGCAAACAATTTGACCGCCTCTAGTCAAACGAAAGGTTTCTGAAGAATTACCAACCAGCAGTCAAACCGTTAAAACTCTGTCCTAAAAAACAAAAAACACCTCTCAAGAGCGCACCGAGGCACCCGGAGACCGGCGCACACTGAAGCATTTTTTTTTGTAAAAGTGAAAAATGGGGGGCAAACCCCAAATGTCCACCTTAGAGAAACACACCCCGGGGGTATGTTCCGGCGCCGGAGCACTTCACCAGGGAGAACTCGGGTTCCCCGTGCCAACAGGGAAGATCTCAGAAATGCGGTGCTCAGTGAAAAGGCGGATTAACCCAGGACGCGGAGAGTAAAATATCAACTGGACGAAGATTTAAAAATGCGGGAAAGGAGATGAGACTCCGTCGGGTGCGAAGACCCACATATGTGAGGCAACGGGACGAAGACACACCAGGAGCCGTGAACAGCGAGGCCGGGAAAGGTGGGAGGGGCCGGAACGCCACCTGGGAGGACCCGTGTCTGATGAGGTCCCCGGGGCAACTGGATGTGTGGGTTGTTACCAGAGCGCTTCCTAAAGCTTTTTGGTATGTCTTACATATTCTGTCCCACAAAATATCGTGAGGCCGAAATGCAAGATGAAGAGGGAGAAATAACACTAATGGGTTAAGGCGGAAACCAAACAGGAAACTACCCAGCAGCAAAGACCTGTGAGAGGCAGCCCCGGGTTCGGCGTTGCACTTGATCCAGGAACGGGAGACCTGGGGCGTCCTCCTCTGAGGGACACTGTTTCTCCACCAGCACTGGCCCACCCAGAGGTTTGGTTTGGGTTGTTCCCAGCCTGTCTTCTTCACAGGGAAAGCAAAGGAAGTCCAAGTTCTTTCCGACACCCCCTGCATTTGGGGGCCCAGTCCGAACTGAAGGGGCAGCTGCTATGAGGTGGTCATGAAGTCACAACCGGGAAGGGCGGTCACCTGCAGCTGGTGGGTCACCAGGACGACCGTCTTGCCCCGGAGCGTCTTCTTAATGCACTGCTCGAAGATGTGCTTCCCCACGTGGGCGTCCACGGCCGACAGGGGGTCGTCCAGCAGGTAGATGTCGTGGTCGGAGTACACGGCGCGGGCCAGGCTGATCCTCTGCCTCTGCCCCCCGGAGAGGTTGAGGCCCCGCTCCCCGATCTGCGGACAGGGGCCGGGGGCACCGCGTCTAGCAGGGAGGCGCAGCCGGGCGTGCTCACGCCAGCCCAGCGGGCAGACGGGGCAGGCTGAACCCCCACCGCATGTACTCCTGGGCACCCCATGATTTGGCATCACTGGCATTGAAAAAACGAGTTTCAAAGTTGGCGTCGTGGCCAGTGTCCCCCCGTGGGCGACCGCACAGGGAGGGTGTGGCCCCTGCGTACAGTGGAACACCACTCAGCCACAGCAAAGGGTGCGGTCCCGCCACTCGCCACAACAGGGGTGGGCCCGGAGAGTACCCCCGGCCAGGCAAGGGGAGTCAGACGGAAAAGGGACAGAAACACGCGGTTTCACGTGCAGGTGGGATACCGTACAGAAAGCAAAAAATAAATGATCACAACTAACGAATGCGTGCTTGGACACGACAGGGTGGAGGCCCTCGGAGGGAGAGGGAGCGGGGCGTCTGCGGCCCCCCGAAGCAGTGCCCCCAAGTCGCCAGAGCAGCGCTTTGCACAGGGCAGGGGGCGCACAGGCCGCGCCGCGGTCGGGCAGTAAAACCGAGACCACCACCCTGCTTCTACCTCACCGGGGCGTCTGTGGAGCCAAGGCGGCCGCGGCTGGGAAAGGTGGTGAATTAGCCGGAAAACGCAAGTCAGAACCCACATCGGCCCTCTGGGGCAGTGGCGGGTGTCCCCCTGGACGAGGGGAGTGGGGGCCTGCGGGGGGCAGTTGGGTGGGGGGCCAAGGGGGTGGGCGAAAGGTTTCTTATTTCCTCACTTTTCCCTCCTCAATGGGGAGGCTCTGCAGTAGCAGCTCGGGCTGCTCTGTGAAGAAGCTGGGGTCCCCCCTCTCTTTCCCCAGGGAGGCCGGCGGGGGACCCCGCAACATCCCCGCAGAAGTGGGAGAGGCCCACCCCCCACTCACCTCTGTCATGTCTCCGAAGGGCAGGATGTCCAGGTCGCGGTCCAGGGAGCAGCAGCGGACCACCTGCTGGTACCTGCCAGGTCGGGGGGCAGAGGGGACAGGGCGGGGACCCTGCGCTGAGAGGGTCCGGTTTGGTTCCCTGTGCGCTGGCTACCGCGGGGCGCTCTTTCCACGTCCTCCCGTCTTTCTCTGCTTTCAATCTAATGCAGATACCTCATGAATATTTAAACAGAACAAAAAGAAGATACAGTGGGAACGCATCTCTCTCGCGTCTTTGACCTCCAGGGGCTTCTCTTAGAAGCCGCCACCCTTGCGCTTTCTCGGGCATTTATTGAGAAACGGCCTCTCCCTGTCTTTCTGCGTAGTGAGCACGGGCTTCTGTCACCCTGATGCCGCCACTTGGCCGCGCCGTAAAGGTTTTAACCTGTGTTCTGGCGGGGACATTTGGGTTCTTTCTGGCTGTGTGCTCCTGTGGTCAGTGTGCCGTGTGGACACTCTTGCCCACGGGGCTTGGTGTGCGTGGGTGAAACCATCTGCCCACTGAGCACCCAGTGTGGCCGAGCTGCTGTGATTTTGCAGAGATGTTTCCACACGGGCCCGTGTCGTGTCCAACTGAGGGCAGAGCCACGGTCAGAGGAGACCGGGCGCCAGGGGCCAGGGCAGGAGGACAGTCCCAGCCGGAGACCACAGCCCCAGACTGGCTGCAGAGACAGAGAGGGAGATGCAGGGAGAAACCCGGGAGAGGGGAAGGAGGTGGAGCTTCCCAGAGCTGGTGACCAATGAGACGGGAGGGAGCTGGGGGGGGGGGGGCGGCAGGCTGGCTGCATTACACTGCACTGGGCAGTCTGGGGGCTGGGCGAGAAGGGGATTCACCAGCTGGTGTTGGGCCCGGCCTCGGGGAGGCTGCCGGACATCCGGCCGCAGCTGGCCAGCGCAAACACCTACGCGTCTAGGCCCCCGGGGCTGCTCCCGTGGGGGCAGGGGCAGATTGCAGAACTGAGCCAAGAATCCACGGACGCCTGTGCCCCACAGCCAGAGGCCGGCGGTGACATTCAGACCCTCCTCCGAAGAGACCTCACTGCGATTGCCACGTGACCGGACCCGGCAGGTCCCCCCGGCGCCCAGGGAGGAGAGGCCCCCAGGCCGTGGCCCCAAAGGCGACCCCCCCACACTCACAGCCTCATCCCCCGAGGGACTAGCCCTGAGACCTAGAGGTCAGGAGCGAATCGGCACAAAGCTTTAAACGAACCCTTTGGACGGCGAGGGTTACTTCGGTCCCGATAATAACGTAGTGAAACGTGAAATTTCTGAAAGCGACTGGGTTCCACGCCGGTCATTCCAAACGCCACCAGCTGCGTGCCTTTGCGCCTGTTAGCTAACCCCCTGGGGCCTCAGTGGCTCCCCCGGAAAACGGATGTGATGAGAACCCGTCTTTCTCGGCCCGGAGGACTGAGGGCCAGGCCTGCCCGTGGGCTCGAGGAACACTGTAGCTTTAAATTACCCCCCCACCCCAGACCCCTCCCCAGAGGCTCACCAGGCTTCCTCGAACCTCCTGCCCATGAGGATGTTGTCCCTGATGCTGCCCGAGATGATCCAGGCCTGCTGGGGCACGTAGGCCAGGCGCCCGTGCACCCCCACCGCGCCCTCCAGCAGGTGCATCTGCGGGACGGGGAGCCCAGCCTCAGCACGGCAGGCCCTGGGGACCCTGGGGCGGGGCCTGATCCTGCGGCGGCGGCAGCAGCTGAACACCCCAGGCTCTCTCCCCTCTGACGTCCCAGCCCCTCTGGGGCCGCCCCTGCACTCCCCGGAGCTGCTGCTGATGTCAGGGAGGTGAGAGGGGAAACGGCCCTCGGGGTTGGGGCGTCACGAGGAAGTGGCTAGCGGGACAGCGTCATGGTCTCTGCCGCGAAAAACAGTCCCACAAAACACGCATCTGCATAGACGGGGGCCGGGGGTGGGGGGGGACCGCGAGTGCCTCTGACTGCGGCGTCTGGGCACTGGGTGTGCGGCTCTTCGCCGCGGTGGCTCCGCCCCCTTTTCTCCGCGCTCCGTTTACAGACGCCCGTTGAAAAGGTAGAGACCACGGCCCACACCCAGGCACCCCAGCCGCCCCGGGGCCCAGCACCCCGAGTGGCTTTCCCTCTCCCGTCCTGGGCGCCCTGCTCCTGATCTGGAAGAACAGATCTTTCAAGGGACATCTTTCTGTTCTCCTTGCTTGGCGTGACAGCGGCTGGGGCCCCGGCAGAGGAAACCACCCCTGGCCACGGAGGAACGGGGCCTCGAACCGGGGTTGACGGCGGGAAACGCGGCTGTGATGGGAAGCAAGGCTCCCACCGCCTCCGGGTGGGGGACCTGGTGTCAGCCCCGGGCCCACGCCTTCCCCGCTCCGCGGCCTTGGGCAGGGCGCCTCTCTGACGCCCCTCCCCCTGCGGGCCCACATGGCTGTTTGCAATTTATCGAGACAGACGTTCGGTTGGCTCAGACCCCTCTGAGGAAGGAAGTGAGGGAGCCGCTCGCTGGGGGGACTTGAACTTGGGTGGCCCTGGTCTGCCTGAGGGTGGACAGGCAGGGTCAGGGGTCACTCACCTCCCCCAGGATGGCCGACAGCAGGTTGCTCTTGCCGCTCCCTGTGTTGCCGCACACCCCTAGCACGGTCCCCTGCAAAGCCAAGGAGGACGGACAGGCGTTGGGACAGCACAGTGCTCCCCTCACCCAGGCGGGGTCTGTTGTTTGAGCACGGTGACAAACAGAAAACAGGACAACCACACACACACACCCCCAAAGCCCCTCAGACCAGCAAAGCTCGGGAGGACATGTGCGGCCAGTCTACCGAGGCGGGGTAGGACCACCGCAAAGCCAGGCAGTCCGGGGAGGGGGGGCGGCACAGAGGAACCGACGGATGATAGTGGTCCTGTTATGGGGGCAAACCCGCACTCCAGTCCTGCCTGCAGTCTGCGCTACGGCTCTGGGCGCGCCGCTGAGCCCCTCGGCTCCTCAGTTTCTCCGTCTGTGAAACGGGGCGGCAAAGCCGGCTTTGCCGAATTCGTGCCCGCACCCACTCGCTCCCTCCCTCACGCCTCCATCAGGCAGTCACCCGAGTGTCTCCCAGGCACCAAGGAATGAACAAGAAGCTCTCACTGGGCTTACATTCTGGTGGGGAGGGGAGCACCGTGACACAAACAAGCACACACACGAGCCGTGGCAGGTGGTGAGAAGCGGCAGGAGCCAGATGGGAGTGGCTGCCGTTTCGGACAGTCGGGGGTCAAAGCGACTGTGGGTGGGCTGGCTAAGGGGCTCGACGTCTGTGCGCAGCAACTCCCGGCAGGTGCCGCTGCTGCTGGGACCCAGTGACCAGAAGGAGCCGGACACAGGAGGACCTGGAGGTGCGGTGGGAACGGCAGGGTCCCGAGGCAGGAACGGAGCCGGCTGCCGGCGCACAGGGCCGGTGTAGGTGGTGTGCGGACAGTCAGTGGGACAAGGAGGCGGCGACAGGTGGGCAGGGTGCTCAGCGACCCGGGATCCCGCCCGTGTGCAATGTCACCGAGGCGTTGAAGCAGGAGAGAGACCTGCACGGGTGTGTGCCTTAAAGAGATCCCCCCGTGTGTGGTGCATTGGAGAAGGCCACAGCGGGAGCAGGGAGGCTGGCCGGGGGCTCCTGGAGGAGCTGGGAGTGGCGTGGTGGGGGCTGGGGGCCAGGGGCCGGCGCCGGGGCAGTGGAGGGCGCTGGGTGGGAGGTGGCGGCTCTGAGGTGTGGAGGGGGAGCTGACCGTTCTCGAGGATGAGTCAGGCTGGTGGGAGGGAACGGAAGGACGCGACTTTGACTTCCAGGTCCTCCGCACCCGCTCCCGGGAGGGGATGGCAGGGCGAGGCGGTCTCGCTGTGCTGGAAATGATGGTGATCCTTGCAGAGGAGCGTGTACATGAATCGCCAGTTGAGTCTGCGGCCCAGAGGAGTCTTCGAGGCTGCAGAAAGCCGCTCGGAGGCGGAGTTAAAGGCAGCAGGCCACAGGGGACCACCAAGAGGGAGAGTGTAATGGGTGATGGGTATTAGATGGTGCCGTCTGTGGTTACTAGAGGTTAACCCTGATTCCTATTGAACACAAACACCTATTTGAGGCACCTCTGCTCCTCTGAGATATAGCTCAGTGTCTACGAGCTCTACCGGTATTATTCTTCTATATCTATGTCACCTGTCACAAGACGTGAACACACCACAGAGAAGGGCAGGGCAGAAGCAGGGGAGCACGGAGCAGGGAAGCCGGCCCTTGCCAGTCTGACTCAGAGAGGAAGCCAGGGAAGGGGGTTCCCAGGCAGGTAGGGTGGGGCTTGGCACATGCCAGGAACTTGTTGCTAGTGTGATCTCCTCCCCCATCCCCTCCCCGTGTCCTCGGTCTCTCCGAAGACCAGCAGGCATGCAGCATACTCTTCCGGGTTTTTCCATTACAGAACAATTTCAGGTGTGAAATACTTTCATACTAAAGTGTGAAAGACTGCCAGTGTGTCCCTTCCATGAAAACTCTGTTGGCCTCAGGCCCCAAAAACCTGGCAGAAGGCCTGCCCACACGGCCAGGAGGAGGTTACCTTTGACACCACCAGGTTTATCTTGTGAAGCTCTGGGGCCAGGCTCTCCCCTTTGCCCTCTGGCTCGAGGGCACCCAGAGGTGGCTGGGCCCCGGCCGTCCCCTTGGTGGAAGCGTGTCCATTCCTCTCCAGCTCTAAGTCTTTGCTGGCAACCACAGAGCAGGTCTTTCTCCAGGACAAAGTGGCGTCCTCCAAAACCAGCGCTTTGCTGGGGTCTTCCAGGGCCTGGACATATCGATCGGGACTCTCCTGCAGGAAGAACCTCTGTGCAGACAGAAGAAAAGGAGAGAAGAGGAACTGGGGTCCCCACTGCAGCAGGAATGCGGACCCCCTTGGCTGGACGGGCCCGGGACCAGTTTATGAACTCACAACCAGGGCAAGTGCGAAAAGCTACCGTCGATGGAGAGGAGGCTTGTTTCCACTGGGGAAGCTTCAAGGCCTTCCAGCTTTCAGACCCCCGGGCCCCGCTTTCACGGCCGAACACGCCCTGCCCCGTTCATGCTTTTCCAGGACCGGGACAGCCGGGACCTGCACCTATCTCTGGGGTCCTGCCCCCAACCAGCTCAGCCCCCTGCAGGGGCGCACCAGGGGGCTCGGTGCCCTCCAAGCACCGCCCGTAACCACTGACCCCACGTCCGGGGAGGAACGTCTTGAAGCCGAAGGCAAACACCACCCCGTGCTGAGGGCCGCGCCGCTGGCCCCACGCCCTCACCTGGAGCCTCTCCACCGCAGACTTGGAATTGCTGAAGCCTTTGACCGAGAAGGGCACGAAGAACATGGATACCCGCATGACGTTCCAGACGGCCATCACGGTGAAGGCCTGGGCAGGGGCGGGGCGGGGTGCTGGTGAGGGTCCCGCCCTGACCCGCTCCCTGTGCCCCCGCAGGCCCCTGTTCCGACCCACAGCTTCCCACAAGCGGGCCCTTCACTTGGCAGGGGCCGGGCTGCTGTCTTGGGGAAACCAAAAACTGGTGAAGAGCAGCTGTCCTAAAGACTCCCCATCTGAAGGGCGGGTCTGTCTAGTCGCTCAGCCCACGGGGCGCCCCCGTGGACACAGTGCCAGGGACTGTAAATCCGGGACCGGAAGGGGGTTTGGGCAGCAGGAAGGAAATGCAGGTGAGACAGCGTTGTCTGCTGTCCGCGCAGCGTGGCACTAGTATTGCTGTCAAGAGCCAATTTCTTCTTCTTCGCCTTCGACGTTCTATTACTTTCTGTCATTTAAAATCTCCCTGCACGTCAGGCCTGATCCGTGCCTCCCTCTTCCCCAGGGAGCCTCCCTGACTGTCGCAAACCACCTCTGGCTTTCAGGATCCCAGAGCATGGGGCGCCTGCTGCCACCCTCCGACTCCGGGCGGGCGCTTCCCCGGGGCGAGCCTGCGCCCAGCGGAGGGGACTGCTGTGCTGGGGCGGTGAACCCTTGGCCGCGGGCTCCCAGGTGACACCCCTCTTGCTTTGGGTGAAGGCTCCTGGCTGCCCCAGCCGATGCCAGCCTCTCACAGGTCGGCACCCTGTCCTGTTCTCCTCGAGGACCTGGGATCCCTCACCCGAAAAGGCACTGGCTCTGTCCCCTGGCCAGGGTCAGGCCGCAAAGGGAAACACAGAAGAAACTAGATCTTTTCATTTAAAGGGCATTTGGGGGACCCTCTCGGGGCATCAGAGAAACTCATCGATTGCGGGTTCCCAACCTCGAGACGTGTATCAGGATCATCGGGGTTAGAACTATGCGTTCTGCCTCCCCTGCACCCCGAGACAACTCCCCCCTGCCCCCCTCCCTCCCGGGGCTGCCGTCCAAGGGATGCCAGTGTCGCCTGCAGCTGGGATGGAAGAAAGCTTGACCCCGCTAATGCCTGGAAACTTTGAATGAACTCCTATTCTCCGCGTGCAGAGCCCTGGGATCCCTGAGGGGCGTGAGCTGGGAGGAGGCCCGTGAGAAAAACCCCTGTCGACGAGGGGAGGGAAACCGCAAGGGCGCGCACACTCACCACCGAGGCTGTGAGTCTCAGCCGCAGGCCCAGGTGGATGAGGAAGGTCACCACCATGGCCACGGTGGGGCCCACGAACAGGATGGTGGTGCTCAGGCTCTGGGTCAGCCCGTTCTTCTCCAGCATCCTCCTCTCTCTCCTCCTGAGATCTGGGAGCGGGCAGAGACATGCCCCGAGGGAAGACCCGACGCCACCCTCAGAGCACAAAGGGAGCCCCCCACCCTCCGCCGGAGCGGGGAGGCTCAGCACCCCCCACCCCCACCCCCACCCCTGGGCGGTCCGCAGGCTCTGAGTAGAAGGCCTGATTCTCTCTGTACCTTTGATGATTTTTGCAAACGGCTTCTCCCACGTGTACATTTTGATCAGCTTGATGCTGGTGAGGACTTCGCTGGTCACCCGGATGCGCTGGTCGCTGATCTCGGAGACCTGCCTCTGAGTCTTCACCTCCCCGTGGATCAGGAGCCCCTGCGGCCGGGACGTGGCGAGAATGCCCGCTGAGAAGGGCAGGGGAGGGTTCCCCGAGGGACACTCCAGCCGTGATGGACCGCTGGGTGCCCCCCCCCCCACACACACTGTCTGGATCTGCGGAGACTGAGTCCAGGCCCCTGCTGGAGGCTCTCCTGGAAGGCCCACGGCCCACCCCCCGGCCCATCATGCCCCGGGGCATCTGCCTCGCACACCCCGTGCCGGGGGGCGTCTGGCTCTCCCGGGTGCCGAGCCAGGCTGGGGCTCACTAAACAGAAGTCCGGCACCTCCGATCTGGGGAATCCTGACCCTCTGCCAGTAACGGCCACCTTTCCCGAGGGCCTGTGCGCCGAGGGAGGGAGACATTCCGTCTAGTGGGTCAGAGCACTAGTCATCCAAGCGTCAGCCCCCTCCCCTCAATTTCCCCTGAAATTTAGGCAGCGCGTGGGCCCCGCACCCCCACCCCCATAATACGGGGCTCAGCCAGCTGTTAAACACTGGGTGTGTTCTCACGTCAGCACGCTCCGGGCGGAAGGGGGGGGGCGAACGTGCAGGAGCCTGTCTACCGAGGGAAGTGTGAGACAGACCCCCCCGCCACAGAGGGCTCTGCGATGGGCCACGCACGCCAGAGTCACCTCCGAGTCCCTGGGCCGACCGGGGCTGTGGCTTCGGAGAACCGTCTGAGGTGGGAGTGGAGGCTGAAGGGCCAACGTCTCCGCTCAGAAGTGCCCCCCCCCACCGGTAGCGCCGGGGTTTCTGGGGCGCATCCGACCTTACCAACAGCGGCAGAACCAGGAGAAAGCAGAAGGTGCTGATGAGCCCGGTGGGGCCGAGCAGGAGGCAGGAGGAGATGGTGCAGGTGACCATGTTCATGAGGGTGATGAAGATCATGGGGCCGTAGTAGATGCCTTCAAACAGGTAGTTGATGTCGGCGGTGAAGAAGCTGATGGCCTGGAAGACACCGAGCCCGGCGCACCGGCGTCACCTCCCCCGTCACCCAGACGGGGCTCCGAGCGCCCCTGGCAGGCGGCTCCCCCAGGCCTCCTCGCGGCAGGGCGGCCCGGGAGGCAGGTAGGCGGGCAGGGACGGACACGCCAGCCGCGTGAGCCTGGGCCCCGTTCCCGGAGGGCTACGATAATCACGCCTGCCCGGGGCGAGACTCTCCAGGAGACGCCGCGTCCGGGCTCGCGGGCCGCGCTGGAGGGGAGCTCTGTCTGGCGATGCCGCGGCCGCTAACGCTCACACCCAGACCCCAGGGAGCAGCTCCGGTCTCCTGCGCCTCCCTGCTCCACTCTGCTCCGGCCGCTGCTTGCATTAGTAATGACCGAGGCTTTTCAGGCGGTACCTGAGGTTTTTTCTCCTCTCCTCTTCTTTTTTTTTTTGGCTTGACTCCTCTGCCCTCTTGCCGTTACCCCGACATGCACCGCTGAGTTCGGTGTTATTCAAAGGTCAACGTTCTAACTCAGGAAATATTTGAGGACCCCTTTCATGAATGTCTTTCAGGAACACCCATCTGGACTCCCTTCAGAAGTGATTTCATTTGAACTTGAACCTGATCTCCTTCCAGCCGCCGGGACGTGCCCCCGGCTGAGCCTTTTTATAAAAATGCTCAGCGCGTGAGGGGGTGTGACTCGGGACAGCCCCCTCGGAGGGCAGCTTCGCAGCGTCTTTCACAGTGAGATGCTTCCACAGACGGGGCAGGGTGGGGGGCCTGTGAGGCACTCGCTGCAGCACCGCCTGCGGCGGCCAGACCTCGGGAACGTCCCAGACCCTCCCCGGTGGGAAAGGCTGACGGGCCTGCCCAGGGAGGGTCAGGTACCATGGGGTCCCGGACCTGTTATCGACCAGCTGTGCAGCCACGGCCACGCTAGTCAGTCTCTCTGGGCCTCAGTCACCTCCCCAGGAAAATGGGGACAGCACTGCAACCTGCGTTGTCGTGCCGAACGGACAGCAGAAGGGGACACTGCCCACAGAACCGTCCGGGCACATCGGAAGTGCTTTGCGGGGGTGGATGAAGGGGGTCGGATGTACCAGCTTCTAGCGATGGGACGAGTCAGCCCCGGGAATGTGGTGCACAGCGTGGGGCTGGGGGTCACGGCAGCACTGTGTACACCTGCTGGTTGCCAGGAGAGTCGGCCTTCCAGGTTCTCACCAGATACAAGAAGAAACGTGGAACTCTGCGTGGCGACGGGTGTTAACCCACTGACGGGTGTTACCTAGACCTACGGTGGTCGCCGTGTTGCCGCACGGAGGCCGCATCGTGCCGTGGCGTACCCCAGACCAACGCCACGCCACGTGCCCATGAGGTTCCGACAGAAACGGGGAGGGGAGGGAGGGCTGGGCCCCGAGGAGGAAACTTCTGTGTGTGAACGTGGAAACTCGGACGTAAAGGGGAGGGAGAGAAAGCCACAAACGGACCTAAACCACGCAGTCCCTTCGATGTAAAAACGGACCCCAAAGACGATACTGTGTGTTTCCCTTGGGTAAAACCGGGGCGCTGCCCGGGCACTGACCCCTCCGCCCGGCACTGACCTCTCCTGAGCTGATGTGCGTCAGGGACCTGAACTGCAGCAGCTTCTCGAAGCTGAGGGCCAGGGCGGCCGTGCGGAACCTGAGGCCCGTGCGCTGGTTGATGACCCAGCTGCTGCACATGCACAGAGACTTCAGGCACTCGGTGAGGAACAGGGTGAGGCAGAGGCCCACGCCGTAGCCGACGTCCGTGGACGACCCCTGGGAGTAGTCCAGGATCCTCGGTAAGATCAGCATCTGACACAGAAGCCGGGGGGTTGGGTCGCTCGGACCTTCCGATCCTTCTTTCGGGGGAGGGCTCAAGCACCGGCTGGGCGCCAGGGCCTGGGGCTGAGGCCGGGCTCGCTGAGTGACTCACGCCCACGCCGTGGGCGCGGTCCCGCCTCCAGGTCAGAGGGTCCAGAGTGGGGGAGCTTCGGTCAGCCGGCCCAGCTCTGAGCCCCAGCTCTGCCACTTCCTGGCTGGTCCCGGCAGGGAACCGAACACACACACACACACGTGCACACACACACACACACGCACTCGGGGTAATAGGGAGTTAAGGACCATTGCTGAAGGTGTGTGCAGAATTGAGGCAGCCCACCAGGGCCGGTGGAGCACCTCGGGGCCGGGGACAGCAAGGGTCACTCACCTCCCCAGGCCTGAGGACAGAGGGGGTGGGGTTCCCGGAATCCAGCGGAAGAGCCACTGAGAAAAGGCTCCTCGCAAGACTCCAGTCGCCTCCCGTGAAGGCGGACCAGGGAGGCGGCCCGCGGACCACGCCCTCTGCCCTGACTTCCCTCTCCCCTCCGGTCTCCTGTTGGCGCCCCCCACTGGGCACACCCCACCAGAAGCCAGAAGGCGAGGGGACCCCATTCGTGTGCTCCGTCGTCTCTGGGGTGACATCCACCGTTGTTTCTTCCTACGTCCATTCTCCCCTTAGCCGGTCACAGCACTTCCGTTTTCTTGGGGGACACTGTCACCTGCCCCATTGCCTGCCGTTCAGGCCGGGCTGCCCTACCCTCTGGTGGCCCACAGTGACCCCAGCTGGGACAACCCAGCCCGTCTTTGCGATCAGATCTGGAGCCGAGGAACCGGAGGACCCAGAGCATCTCAGCCGGTTCAACCCCAGCAGGGTACTCGGGAGAGACCACCGGGTCCCGCCACCTGCCTCCCCCCGGGGCTGCTTGGCCATTTCTCAGGGCGGCTAGCGTGGGATGCGCCAGGACACGCTCTGTGCACGTGTAGACTTAGCCCACCTAACGTCACCCTCTGAAGCAAGTGACACGTGAGCATCCCCAGGACGTCTATCGCTGACAGGGCAACGGGGCTCCGGGACAAGTGAAGGCACAGAGAAGGTCAACAAAGTGCCCAAAGTCTCCCAGCATCTCAGCAGAAGGACCACGCTTTGAACCCAAGCGAGGGCTGCAGAGCTCACACTCTAGTTATTAGCTCTACTACCCACACCCCCACCGGAGACTGTCACGTCTGGGGCAGCACCCGAGAGACAAACACCTCCGAGACACCTGGCGCAGACTGGTGCACACGCCGACCCCCAAGCCCAGGGTCCCCCGGACGTCACCGAGCCTGCCACTTACCGGCCCCAGCACACTCGTGACCGAGAGGCAGACGCTCACGATTATGTAGAGCAGGACCCGAGTTCTTTGGAATCTCAGCAGCACACGAAGCAGCGAAGCTTTTTTAATCCCACTCCTTGAGACTTCTTCTTCCCAAAGGCGGCGGAGCCTTGAAAAGAGGGATGTGGAGCCACGTGACATCTCTCCGCCGGTGTCACCCGAATGTCCCAGGTGTGGCTAGCACAGGCTTTCGTCACAGAACTCCTCAAACGCAGCCAAAGGCGACCAGAAGAGGGCACCTCCCCCAAACACCCATTCGAGCATTATCGACAGTGGCCGTGTCTGTTTCTCCTCCCCTCCCCTCCACTTCTTTTCTTTTTTTTGCTACATTCCAAGCAAATCCCAGCCATATCTCAGCGCCTCCGTATGTATCTCTCCAGATAAGCCTTTCAAACCTCCTCCGCAGCAGCTATCATAACAATACTTATTCATCATCATTAACAGTTACATGTGAGTGACGTAGTGACAATACTTTCTTTGCGGTGTTGAATAAGTACCCGGTCTGGATTCAAACGGATCTCATTATTTCAAAAGTATCTTCTTGCAGTCAGCTGGCCTAAAGCTGACGTTCATTTTTAAGAGCCACATCTGAGAGGCCTCTCCCGTCTCATTGTAACCTGTGGTGGTTTTCCCTTCCCTGCACTTCCTGCCGTTCTTCTGTGAGAGAAGCAGGTTTTGTCCTCTGGGGCAGGGGTGTCACCCTCACTGTCACCGGGGGCCGCATCGGCCTCTCGGTCACCTTCAAAGGGCCGGCTGTGACTTTAGGGCTGTGTACGTGTAACTGCTCCTTAACTGGGGGCCAGGAGCTCGCGCTGCCGCCGGGCGGAAACGAGGTGCCGGGCCGGATAGCACAAGGTGGGGGGCCGGGTTCGGCCCTCGGGCCTCGTGTCTGCCGCCTGCACTGCAGAATGTCCCACGTTCTGGATTTGACTGAGCGCCTCCCTGCAAGGCTGTGGCAGTTTAACCAGATTCTGATTTGCTCTGCCGACCCCCGAGGCCTGGCTGCAGTGTGCGACACGGCCTGCCCCCTGAAGGCTCCCCTCGGGGGGCCCCCCCGGGGCTGCCACGGCCCGGAAGGTGTCTGGAGCGGACACTCCACGCCCGCCGACTCTCGGGGAGTCGCTGGAGGTGGGGACGCGTGTGCAGAACATTTCTGGTCACTTCGTTGCCCCCTTCCACTCCCCGTGTCACCTCGCAAGGCCGGTGACACAGGAAAGAGAATCCCACAGCCGGCTCACGGCGACTCAAGGACGGAGAGACGGGGCCGCCGGCCCCAAAGGGAAGGGCCCTGACGCCGGTCAACACCTGACCCTGGGGGAAAAGCGAAGGGACTCGAAGCGGCCGTGTTCACCTTTCCTGGGGTCCCGGGCCCTTAGGCAGAGCTCATAAAAGACACGAATCCTTCTTAAAAAAAAACGTTACCCTCACTCGGGGACAGGTTCTGTCACTGCTCTTAGAGACAGCGGAAGGGAGACCGGGGGGACACGGATGAGAGACAGGGACACCGACCGGCTGCCTCCCGCTCACACCCCGGCCGGGGTCCGGTGCGCCGGGCCCAGGAACCTTTCAGTCATACGACAACCAGCCCTCCATCCAACCAAGCCATGCCGGCCAGGGCAAAAGATGAGAATTCTTGCTCCAGAAAAAAAAATCTCTAGCCGTATGCCTCAAACGTGTATGCCGTTCCTGGAGAGTCCTGAGCCCCAGGGGACGGAGGGAGGCTCTCGGGGTAGCGGAGGACCCGATGCGGCCGCCTGAGGGGGGGGCCTCACCGACTCCCGGGCGCCTCTGGTCCCCTTCCCCCCAGGACCGTCTCTCACTGCCCCGGCGGCCGCCCGGCAGCCCCGCACCTTCTGGAGTTCCGGGTGGAGGCGTCGCGCAGCGACAGAGGCGGCGTGGAGTTCTCGTCCAGGCGTCTCCGCAGGCCGAGGACCATGAGCCCCGTGATCCAGGTCACCGTGAGGTAGGAGAGCAGGCCGGCATTGTCGATGGGGTTAGGGGAAGGAGACCTAGGGGTCGCAGGCAACGAACGCGGTCACCGGGAGGGTGCCGGCTCCAGGCGGGGAAAGCGAGGTCCAGGGCGAGGTCCCGCGCTGATGAACAGTCACTCTGTAAAAGCTGCCGCGTGGCCGTCCAGGGGCACAAGCACGTGTGTGTTCCCGTGACTCGGTTGCGTGTGGTGGGGGGGGGGGGCGGGAAACCGCCACCGCACCCGCAGCGAGGGGGACACGTGTCAAAGACAGGAGAGCAAAGACAGGAGAGCGAGTCCGGGAGAGGTCGCCCCGGCGGCCCCGCCGGGGGCTGCCCGGCCGGGAGCTGCCCCTCGCCCCGCCCAGGACTCACCTTGGCTTGAGCCGGAAGGGCAGCATCACCCTCCAGTCCCTGTCCTTCCCCGAAGGGGGGGGCCCCGCGCTCCCCGGCGCCTCCTCCGGCTCCCCCGCCTGCGGGCTCCGGGGTCTGTCCTCCAGGGCGCACGTTTTCTTGGGCAGGAAAACCAGGGAGCGTTAGTTTCAGAACCGCCGCCGCCCCAAGGGCGGGCGGGTGAGAGCAGCCACGGGAGGGGGACGGCCCCTCCCACACCCAGCTCCAGGGCCAGGCAGACGACCGCTGCGTGTCCTCCCTCACAGGCAGAATCTTAAAAAGAAAAGAAAACCTAGCTCGTGGGTGCAGAGGACAGATGGTGGTCACCAGGGACGAGGTGGGTAAGCGGGTGAGGGTGCAAACTTCCAGCGACAGAATCAGAAAGTGCTGGGGCCGGAGCTCGCGGCGCGGCGACGGCAGGCCACAACGGTGCGCTGTGTCCGGGGAGTCACTCAGAGGGAGAGCTCAGGGCTTCTGGCCGTGAGAAAACCCTGCGCAGCTCCCTGGGGCGGCGGGCGCTAACTGGAGTGACTGCGGCGAGCATCTCACAGCGCAGAGAGACACTGAGCACTAGGATGCACACCAGGAACTGACATACCGTTGTGTGCCAATGCTATCTCAATGAAAGCGAGTGAATGAATGAATGAATGAATGAATGAATGCAATGCTGCCAGGCAGAGTGTGAGCACTGAGCCGAGAGTCAGGAGAACCAGGTCCCAATCCTGGCTCTGCTGCCCCAAAGCCGCTCGGGGACCCTGGGCAGGGCGCTCCCCCTCCCCGGATTTTCATTGGTCGCCAAACACCCCGAGTCGACAGAAAGAAGAGGGGGCGGCGGTCAGTCGCCCGCAGAACGTGAGGCCCAGTCACCCTCCGGGGGCCAGCCTCCTGAAATCAGTAAGTAAAGAAGTAAATCCCAAGACACGAAGTTACCCTTTTGAGGAAGTGGGACATGACTAAAATGACAAAAGAGATACATTGTCTCTAGGGCTTCATATAGAATAAGTGATACGACCTTCAAAGCCCACCATGGATGGAGGGGAAGGGGCTCAGAGAGGGGTGCCTTCAGGGCGGGGGGGCTGGGGGAGGAGGAGGAGGAGACCAGCAGCTGGGTGTGGTGGTCAAGGTCCAGTCTGGCACGTTGCTGACAGGTTTGTAGGTTCTCGTATATTATGGGTAAATACATAGATGTGTAGGTAGTAGGTGATATATACATGTGTATGCAATAAACACATAGATACACAGGTAATAGGTGATACATACATGTGTGTGCAATAAACACATAGATGCGTAGGTAACAGGTGATACACACATACACGCACATGAGCCATGAAGGTTGGGTCGTGACCAAGGGTTATGGCTCATCTAATTCTAGAAGCCTGGGGTCCACTAGAAAACATCCAGGTTGAATGAACACGGGACACCACTCCTTGACCCGAGTTCTGAGCGCCGAGAACCCCCCGCCACCTCCGTTTCCAGGGGTTCTGATGCAAAGGCGATAGAGCTACTTACGTAGCTGAGTCCCAGAACCACGTCATCGCCCGCGTCCAGGCCGAGATTCACGACACCATTCGAAGGCCTGGGGACCCGGTGTTCCTTCTTCCTGGTCATCTTCAGTTGTCCTGCCAGTTAATTCTCCGTTTTCCAAGGTCAGAGAATCTGCAAACGCAGCAGGCGGGAGCGGCTCAGCTCCGGACCTGAGCAGGCGGGAGAGAGGATGGTGCCCAGCCGCGAGCACGCAGGGGCCGTGCACAGGGCGGGCCATCGTCCCAGCCCCTGCCCTGCCCTCTGCCTGGAACGGACTCGGCTCCTTCTTTTCAAACATCTACTCCGGCCTCGGCCCCACATCCCTGGGGGAGACCTTCTCTCACTGCCCGCTCCCAGCCCCACGCCCTGGCGCCGGTCCGTCTGCGTCCACTGACGGATCTGCTCACGAAACCACGCTTCTTCCCTTCTCCCAGGCTGTACTGCACGCCCAGGTCCACCGTCATGTGTTCTGGGTCGTTTCCCGCACTACACGGAGGACAGGCAACGCATCCGCTGTGCTCACCGTGGGGGGGGTCCCGGGGGCCGGACGGTGCCAGGAGTACAGGCCAGGTGCTCAGCGGCTGAGCGACAGACGGGCGGGTGAACGAGGGAGAGGCTTGCAATGTTGCCATTTTGTGACTCTTGGTTTTCGGACTCGGGGCAGGGGGTCTGGGCAAACCGGGGAGCCTTGAACAACCAGGCATTTTTACCATGTACTGACGTGCTTTTGGTTTTCGACTTTCTGGGGGTGTGATGCTCCCGCAGCGGGGCCGCTGCCTCGGGGAGGGGAAGGGCGGTGACGAGGAGTGTCTCTGGAGAGACAGAAAGAGAGCGGGCGTCCCAGCAGCACCTGGGTGGGGCGTGGCCGGTGCCTCACGGGGCCCCATACCCCGAAGGGCCCCCAGCTCAGGTTCGTGCTCTGCCGCCACCAACTTGAAATTCTTTTCTTTTAAAGATTTATTTTATTTTATTTTTAGACAGAGGGGAAGGGAGGGAGCAAGAGAGGAAGAGAAACATGGATGTGTGGTTGCCTCTTACGTGGCCTGTAATGGGGACCTGGCCCACAACCCAGGCAAGTGCCCTGACTGGGAATCGAACCGGCGACCCTTTGGTTCGCAGGCTGGCACTGAATCCACGGAGCCGCACCAGCCAGGGCCCAGCTTGAAGTTCTTAATAATTTCCAACAAGGAGCCCCACACGTTCACGCTGCCCTGGCGTTGCGATACAGCGTGTGACGCTCACATCTGGGACTGTGCTTCGCGTCAGCAGCCTTGCAGGCTAGCCTATCGTCTCGGGACGAGATTTACTCCGTTCTTTTATCCCTCCTCCCCGCCCTTCGGGTTTTTTGTTTGTTTGTTTTTGTTTTTGTTTGTAATTTTGGGGGGCCCAATTTGGTGGACTCGGTTTCTGGAATGTTCCTGTAGAGCGTACAGGTAGATCGACTCCCCGGGAAGGCGCCAGGCCACGAGCTAGACTCACTGAGCCATGGTCGAAGTGGGCCTTTCAGGCAAAAGGAAAAAGAGAAAGAAGGAGGCGCGTTAGGTAAGAGGGTGTCGCAAGCTCCTTGTGGAAGACTCTGGAAAGAGGCCAGGTTTCTGGCTGCCGTGAACCAGCCTAGCTCCTAGACACGTTCCAGTACGGCTGGCAGGGCTCCGTGGAGAGCGGCCCGGGGCAGAGGACCGTGTTTGCTGCTGTCCACTCTGTTCCCTGTGCAAAGTTCCCCAGGGGAGGGAGCTGGGGGGCGGGGGGGGGGCAGTCAGCACATTCTGGATTGCAAGTCATGCGCCCTGGCACTGGGCCGCGCCCACAGGTGCCTGTATGTCACCAACCTCTCGTTGCGGCCGGTGAGTCAGCACGGCGGCAACACGCAAGGTGCTCGGCGCTCTGCTCTGTGCTAAGGAGCAAGAGGAGAGTGAACCGCCAAAGATGGGTGCCGGCCGGAGCCGCCCTTGTTTGTGCACGGCCGGGGTAGCTGTGCTCAAGCTGCAGTTTTCAAACAGGGAAAGAACAGTTCCTTGGTGGTTCGGTGCTCCCCACAAAGTCTCGGCTGCAGGCAGCACCTGCTTGCCAACTCCGTCTGCCCGAATTTCTTAGGCCTAGATACTCCATGAAGTAGCAACAAAACGAGCCCTGGTCTGCAGTTTTTGTTGATTTTCGTGGTGAAAATACCCCCCCACCCCGTGACTGACTTCCAGCCTCTGGCACAGCCGCGGAGTCGCGGCTTTTGGAAGAGGGGTGTGGTCAGACGCCGGGTGGCCTGTCCGCTGTGCAGGTCCAAGGTGTGTGAACTACCTCGAGGGTGCACAGTGACGTGAGATAACGGGGGAGGGAGAAACCTGGAGCCCCCCCTCTGTCTTTGACGGAGTGCATTCGGGACGCGTGTCTAACGTGTTTCTCCTGATGCTTGCATTTGACAACGGGGCTCTCCACGTCCCTGCGAATTTGACAGTCGGTCCCACAGACCCGAATGAACAGACCGCCGTCACATCCATCTGGAAAAAGTGATGCTTTTTAATTAATCTTCTCAGCAGGAACATCTTTGTCCAACTCACTCCTGTGTGTGCTCTACGGGCTTATTTTGGCTGCACCTGGGGGCCGCTTTCCTGGCTCACCCCGAGATGCGGGTGGGAGCAGGAAGTCTGGGTGAGGGCCTGCCCACAGGGGCCTAGTGGCCCACCTGAGCTGCAAATAAATGAGAACCACGGGAGGGGAGTATGGTGCCAAGAGAAGCCAGGCCACCCTGGGGACACCACCAGGCCACAAGCAGGCCACAAGCATCGCTTGAAGGCTACAGCAGGTCCTCCAGCGACAGCAGGTCACACAGTGACCAGGTGGACAAAAGACACCATTTGGGAAAGCTGGGAGCGGCGTGGACAGTGCGCCCGGGACCCCGAGTCTGAGACGGAGCCTTCACGGACTGCTGCCCGGGGAGCTGTTCTAACGAGCGGATGAAACCAGGCCTCACAGTGGGGAGCGAGCATCAACACCTGCTTTCTCCTCGCTGAACAGCGAGGAGGTTCTCAGGAGCAAGGTCGGGTTCTTAGGGAGCAGCTCAAGAAACTTCCTTTTCTTCCTCCTTTCAGCTGCAGTGTGGTTTCTTCACCTGGTTTCTTTAGGTTCCCAGGCGAAGAGAGGCAGGGAGGCTGTCCAAGGTGGGGCGGTGCGGGAACCAAACTCCAGGGAAAAGCAAACCGAGGGACAGAGAAGGCGACGCGAACTTGCGCAACGTCTGTGTTTGCAGAACACTGGCTGCTCACCCCAGCGTCCCTGGGGCTCAGCCCCACAGTAGCTCAGGCCGCCTTCCAACCCTCGGGGGCCCAGCTCCGCTCCCTGGACTGGCCAGGAGAATTCCCTCTGGAGCTTCCTTCGGTCGTTCTTGAGAAGTTCCCTGTCGCCCAACTTCCTCTCTGGAGGAAGTCGGGGCTGAAGGTCATTCACTCTACTCAAAGGCAAGGCCATCGTTGCAGGCAGGGTGGGGACCAGGACGCGGCTGGAAATAAAACAGAGAGGGACCACGCTTCCAGCCTGTGTCCTCCCCAGTCCCCGGGGACCACAGTCATGGCTGTACACTTGGCTTGCACGTGGGCTATTTGCATATGTCGAAACGGCCTGCAAACAGGAAGGGGGCACAGGAGCAAGGTAAACTGTGGCCCGGGTCCAAGGCCAGAAGGCGCCCGGGGCTGTAGGGCAGAGCCACCTGCCAGCCAGGCCCCGAAGGAGTTTGAGATCCGACCTTTCTCCTCCTGTACGTCTCTCGCCCAGGCAGGTCACACCCCGAGCCGGTTACCCTCCGGGCTCCCCTCCTGGCTTTTAGCTTTACTCCCTCTGCCAGTTCCTGTGGCTTCTGGAGGCCATCGCTGGCCATTTGTTGAGTGCCGAGCCCCTACATCGCAGCGCCTGGACCTTTCCTCTGTCCCAGACAACTGGGAGGCTCCTCCCCACCTTCGTCTTTGCTCTGGTCTTACTCTCTGCCGAGAGCATTCTCCCGCCAGCTCCTTGCAGAGCTGGTCCATGCTCGAGTCTGGAATAGTGCCAGCACGCAGCAGAAGCTCAGCACACACGCATCTGCTGGTTGCTTGCTCGAAGCAGATGCAGAACCCGTTGAGGAGGAGAGCCGCATGCGCACTGCAGGCCTCACGTCTAGATTCTGAGGTTGGCCCCAGTGGGCTGACCCCTCCCAGTGCAGAGACGCACCAACGTGGTGGAAGGGAAGCGTTCACCAAGCAAGCGATCTAAACACAGGGCCCACTCTCACTGCACACCTCCTGGGGTGGGGTCTGAAACTGCATTTCAGAAAGTAAATCCGGCCATCGTTAGGGGATAAAACACTCGGAAGGTTTGTTGATGGTGGTGGCCGGGGTGGGGAGGGTGGGGGTGTGCGTTAAAAGCATTAAACGTGTTTTAAAAAGACACTGCAAAGTTTGTAAGATGGTGTTTGAAGTTCTTTGTTAAAACACTGGGAACTTCAAAAATGCCGTCTCCCGACCCCGTGCCCTGGGAGAGACCTGGATGAAAAGGCGAGCCCCTGTGGTCCTGGGCCGCCCCGGGCGTCTCTCAGAGGAGGGTGCATGGCGCACATCCAGGGAAGGATTCAGCATCTTCAGTCGCCCCTGAACTTCCCTCTAAGCCCCAGAGGCTCCGCCCCATCCAGGAGACACCCTTGACAACGGCTGTCCTTCCCTCCCAATGTCCAATCCACCAGCACGCTCTGCTGCAGCAGCTACACTTGAACATGGCCTGGCCCCTCAGCTCCAGTCTGCGACACTCTCACCTCTGGCCTCGATGGGCGCAGCCCCCTCCCCACTGGCGTCCCTGGTTTTCCCCTCAAACCCTTCCGTTCCGTTCTTCACACTGCAGCAAAAACGCTCTTTTGAAAACGCAAGCCGGGCAATGTTTCCCTGCAAGTTGGAACCTCCAGTGGCTTGCACCAGGCCTGGAGTAAGAGCCCAGCTCCTCACCAAGGCCTCCTCAGCGTCTAGAGTCCCCACACCACTTCCGTGGTCTCCCTGCCCACACTGCGAATGTTTTCTCTTGACCCCACCAAGAGAAAACATCCGATAAACCCAAATTGAGGAACATTCTAC